CTATTATTGTCATTATTGTTATTATTATCATTATTATTATTATTTTCCACATTATTCACCTTCTTTTATACTTATACAGCGGCTCGTCTTTGGTGGAATTCCGACTGTATCTAAACGTTCTCGAGTCACTGTCCGGTTGAAAATTGTATGTTACCACCGAATACGAGGACTGAAGCAGATTTTCTGAAACCACGTGCATCATTCAAACTGGCTGCCTTCAACGTTCGCACATTTATGCAGGTCGGACAACAGATAGGGCTGGCTATGTCTTTGGAAAGTCTTAATATCGACGTGTGTTGTCTATCCGAGACCCGTATTCAAGACTCTGGCGAAGTACTACAAATTCGATCTCCATCTGTCGCTTCGAAAAGCTTGTTTTACGTGCGCTTATCCGGGGACCCTGTGGCATCTTCGTCTGGTCTTGCTGGCGTTGGTGTCGCACTAAGCGCTAGAGCTGAGGCAGCACTAGTCGATTGGATCCCCATTAGCAGTCGGTTATGTGCTGTTAGATTAGAAAGTTCCATCAAAGTGAGAAGAAATCGGCGTGAGAAACGATGTCTTTTCGTCATCTCCGCCTATGCCCCGACAGATTGCAGCCCGGATGCAATCAAGGATGAGTTTTACCACCAGTTATCAGTTCTTCTCCAGAAAGTGCGTTCGACAGATATTGTAGTACTAGCCGGAGACTTGAATGCTCAGGTCGGGCGTCTAGGCACAGAAGAGAGTCGTTTAGGTGGCCGATGGGGACTCGTTGGTCGCAGGTCAGATAACGGGGACCGTCTACTGCAACTGTGCACAGACCACAACCTGTTTCTGGCTAGCACTAACTTTCGGCACAGTCATCGCCGATGTGCCACCTGGCGTCCTCCCTCTGCATCCCAAGCCTGGACTCAGATTGATCACATCGCGATCAGCTACCGCTGGCGTGGTTGTGTACAAGACTGCCGCTCCTTTTGGAGTACCTATCTGGACTCTGACCATGCCTTGGTCTGCGCCAATCTTGCCTTACTTTTCAGTGGACAACGAAGTGAACGCCATCAACGGATTGATGTTAGCAAGCTGGTTGCAACTTCTGTTGCAAGTAAGTATCGAACCGAGCTAGCCTCTAGGCTAGCTACCACTCCACCGAAAAGTATAGATGAGCATTGGTTGCAATTGCATGACGCCATGAAAATGGCGGGAACAGTCAGTTGTGGGTTTGCGAAACGTCCCGCTTTTAAGCACTGGGTTTCTTCTGGTTCCTTACAACTCATTGAAGCCCGTCGGTCTACTCCGGGTAACCGTGAGTTTGACCATAAACGAAGGTTTTTACGTAAGGAAATCGGGCAAAGCTTGCGTAAGGACCGAGAAGCCTGGTGGTCGATGCGTGCTAATGAGCTGGAAGCAGCAGCTGCATCTGGTAACTACCGGAAGCTCTTCCAACTCATCCGAGCCACTGGCAGCAAGAAGTCTGGTGTGAGTGAAACAATCTGCGAGGATGATGGGATGCCAATCACAAACATCCATCGACGTCTTGGACGATGGGCAGAATTTTTCGAAGGGCAGTTCAACTGGCCTGCTGCTCCGGTAACATCGGTCAGACTGTCCTGCCCTCCATGGCCGGTGACGACTGATCCACCAAATGAGGAGGAAGTCCACAAGGAACTCCAACTCTTGAAGCGTTACAAATCACCTGGCCCAGATGACTTACCTCCGGCTCTTTTTAAAGATGGTGGTGACTTTTTGACTAAGGAATTGACGACGTTGTTTACAAAGGTTTGGGATCTAGAGAGTGTACCAACGTCATGGAATGAGTCGATAGTTGTCCCTATCTTTAAAAAGGGTTCACGTCGTTCCTGTAACAACTATCGGGGGATAAGTTTACTTCCGATTGCGTCCAAGCTATTGGCTTCCGTCATTCTTCGTAGGTTGTTCAAAACACGAGAAAGATTGACTCGCGAGGAGCAGGCTGGGTTTCGTTCTGGTCGAGGATGTATTGATCATATCTTCACCGTCCGCCAAATGTTAGAACACCGCCATACTTTTCAAAGGCCAACAATCGTAGTGTTTCTTGACATCAGGGCTGCCTTCGATTCGTTGGATAGGACTGTTCTCTGGGATTGTCTATTGAAGAAGGGTGTGCCTGAGAAGTTTATTAACATCCTAAAAGCCCTGTATAAAAACACCTCAGGCAGAGTGAGGGCATACAACCACCTCTCTCCATTGTTCCATTCGAGCAGTGAGGTTAGGCAGGGTTGCCCAATCTCACCATTCCTCTTCAACTTTGCCATCGATGACATTCTGGAAACAGCTCTGATGAATGTAAGTAATGGTGGTGTGGATCTGTTGCCTGGAGAAAGACTTCTCGACCTTGAGTATGCGGACGATATTGTCTTACTGTGCGATAATGCCCAAGGCATGCAATCCGCACTTAATCAGTTGGCAATCAATGTCCGTAGGTATGGTATGTGCTTTGCACCTTCGAAGTGCAAAGTACTTCTACAAGACTGGCAGGATCCCAATCCTGTACTCACCCTGGATGGTGAGCAGATAGACGTAGTTGAGAAGTTCGTGTATCTGGGTAGCTGCATAAGTGCTGGTGGGGGTGTGAGTGATGAGATCAATGCACGTATAGTGAAAGCCAGAGCGGCTTATGCCAATCTGGGCCACCTTTGGCGCCTTCGTGATGTCAGTCTGGCTGTAAAAGGCCGGATCTACAACGCGTCGGTGAGAGCAGTTTTGCTCTATGCTTGTGAAACCTGGCCTCTCCGAGTTGAGGACGTTAGACGACTCTCTGTGTTTGATCATCGCTGTCTCCGAAGGATTGCTGACATTCAGTGGCAACACCATGTCAGTAATGCAGAGGTTCGGCATCGTGTGTTCGGGCACAGAGATGATAACTCAATTGGTGTCACCATCTTGAAACACCGACTTCGGTGGCTTGGACATGTTCTCCGAATGTCGTCCCAGAGAATTCCACGTCGTGCATTATTTGCCGACTCTGGGACTGGTTGGAAGAAGCAGAGAGGTGGTCAGTGCATGACATGGTGTCGTGGCATGAAAGAAAGCTGCAAAGGACTGGCTTGTGTTGGTCCTTCACGACTCCCTGGCTGGGGTCCGAGAGATGGTGCAACACAGTGGCTAGAGACGTTATCAGATATGGCTCAGAATAGAAGCCAGTGGCGATCCTGCTGTAACCTTCTTTTACTTTCTTCATAAAAAGTGGTTGTGTCTCCTTTACCTGAAAGATTTCTTCTGATTGTACCTCTTCGTCATTACTCTCTTTTTCTTTTGCGTTCCTTAGTTTTTTTTTTCTTTCTACTTCTCTTCGAATTCCCATTGTTTTGTGTGGCGCATATATATTGGCGCTCTCTTGTACCAATATTTATGTGTTCAAATAAATAAATAAATCCTAGCAAATGAAACTTCATTTCAAAAGTTATATAAAAGTAACTGTAAAAAAGAATAGACGAACAGAGTAAAACGGGTAAAGCTGGAAAAAATTAATGCAAGAATGAAGAAAAATAACTAATAACCGAGAATGTATTATCCAACTAAATATAGGGAACTGAAGTCACTGGGGTAGTGCAAAATTAACAACTGTACGCTTTTTGGATGGATAATTTCTATTCCGACCATTTTTAGTGGCAATGATTTCTATGAAACGTTATTAACTTTGAGGTTGTTAACGTATTGATTAATTTGGAAGATAATGTAATATTAACATCATGTTCACTATCAAGCAAGTGATGAACAATCGTAATGTTGAAAACATGTTCATATTTCGATCTTAAATGATGGGAATCTACGAAATAAATGAATTCGTACATATTTGGCTATATTTGTTGAAAGTGAGACAATTTATTTACTAATGAAATAAGATTTACATTTAAGTATATCATAAACTGAATGTAGTAGAACAATATTTAATCAATAAATAAATTTCAAGTATAGGGGTTGTGGAGATTATCAAGTTTACGATTGAGATCATGAACCGATTGATGTTAGACCACATTTGGAAAACTGGAAGCACTGGACAACCGTTTCGTCCTATTGTGGGACTGCTCAGCAGTGCGCATCCACGATCCCGCTCGCGTGATTTCAACAGACATAAGTAGTATGCAACACCAATCACAAGTGGAATGCCTGGAAACAGAAGGTTGAGAAGATCGAATTGAAGAGAACAGAAAGGGATTGTAATAACAAATAGAATGAAGGAACGACGATGTTTGTAAGAGACAATTGATGGAAGATGTGCAAACTGTGTATTTAATATATGGTTTTCATATTTTAGGAAGACATTCTGTAATATAGAAATAAACAGTAAATTGGTATTACCCACCTGACTTCTCGTTCACTACACTATTACTCCATACTTACAACTAAATGATAACTGAGTAGTGACCAACGTCAAATCCTTTTTAGTGTTAATCGAATTCCATTGATCAGAATTGTAAATGCATCCCAGTCCTACAGTTCAGTCACGACCCGAGTTCAGTGGTAACGTCGTTGACTATGAAGCTAGAAGTGACAGGATAGAATTCCCCAACCAGCATCGTTCCCCTTGAAATTACAGGTACACCATTACGACGAGTGTCGAATAGAACGAAACCTAGGTCAAACGGATTTTGTCGACTATTTCCAACCACCAACCTACATTTCAGAATTTTTTACCCCATGAATGCATTCATTCTTTCTAAACTATATTTTTTATAACAACTGGTCTTTTTCACAACCATAGACAGTATCACTAATAATACGACTAGTTTATCAAGTGTTTAGTCCATTTATATCTCTTTACGCTGATGCAACTATGCCAAATTGAACGGAGGCATACATCAGTGTCAGATGCTAGATAGACCATGGCGACTTAATAATAAACAACTTATGAGTGGTAGTCGCTGCGTTAGACACCCAGTAATTAGGTCGCAGCTTTGGGCTCTCATCTCATCCTGCTCCAGTTTAGACTACCGGATGATAGTAGGATCATCAGCACCAGACACTTGTAGTGTGGCTTGAAGTTAAGTACAAAAATCTGTACATGGTAAATGAGTTTTAAAAATCGGAGACAAAACAACTAACTTTAAATTGACTCTTTCTTTTTCACTACATCCAATAAATGTTCCATAAACGGCTGAATAAATTTGATCATGTAAATACTTTAGTAATTTAATATTATATTCAAATTTAGTTGGGCAGATTTCTAGCAAATGTCGTAAGCAATCAAGAAATTGTGTAAATATTGGGGAGATTTCACGGGGATCAGCACCTGACACTAAACCACATCGTTCAGTGAATTTGTAACCGAATTGTATCCAGTCTTTTTCGATTAAAGCCTAACAAAATAAAGTTATATGATATATATATATATATATATATATATATATTAACCTACTTACGCCTGTTACTCCTAATGGAGCATAGACCGCCGACCAGCATTCTCCAACCCACCCTGTCCTGGGCCTCCCTTTCTAATTCCATCCAATTCTTGTTCATTTTTCTCATGTCTATCTCTATTTCCCGGCGTAATGTGTTCTTTGGTCTTCCTCTTCTCATTTAGCCTTGAGGATTCCATATGAGGGCTTGCCTTGTGATACAGTTGGGTGATTTCCTCATTGTGTCCTATCCACTTCCAGCGCTTCTTCCTGATTTCGTCCTCTGTTGAGATCTGGTTATTTCTCTCCTACAGTAGATTGTTGTCGATAGTGTCTGGCCAATGGATCCGAAGTATTTTGCGTAGACAGCTATTAATAAATACTTGTATCTTCTGGATGATGGCCTTTGTAGTTCTCCAAGTTTCCGCCCCATACAGTAGAACTGTCTTGATAGTTGTATTGAAAATTCTGACTTTGGTGTTGGTTGACAGTTGTTTTAACTTCCAGATGTTCTTCAGTCGTAAATATGCTGTTCTTGCTTTTCCGATCCTCACCTTCACATCTGCATCAGATCCACCGTGTTCATCAATGATGCTGCCCGGATATGTAAAGGTTTTTACATCTTCCAAATCTTCTCTGTCAAGTGTGATTCGATTGTTGCATGCTGTGTTGTATTGGAGAATCTTGCATTTCCCTTTGTGTATGTTGAGACCTGCTGCTGCTACACTGGTTGGCTTCTTTTGTATTTGTTGTTGCGTGTGCGATAGAAAAGCCAGATCATCTGCGAAGTCTAGGTCGCCAGCTGTTCACTGTATCCAATGCCTTCCCCTAGATGTTGACGTCTTCATAATTCAGTCGACCACTAGGAGAAAAGGAAAGGGTGATAGTAAGCAACATTACCTGACATCAGTCTTTACTTCGAACGAGTCTGTGAGCTGTTTCTTTAATTAATGGTGGGCCAGAATTGATTGGGAGGTCCGTGGATGCTGCTTCGATGTTCTACCCACCTGTCGCGCTGTTCTTCGATGTTGGTGATCACTTTGCCCTCCTTGCTTTTCACTGGTCGTTCTGGTTTGTCAGTATCCCGAAGAAAGGCCATATTAAACTTCTCTGATGTTGTCCGCTCCATTCTTGAGTTTCAATTTCATCTTGGCGACCAGCAAGTGATGATCTGATGCTATATTAGCTCCTTTCTTGGTTCTCACATCCTCCATTGTCCTCCTGAACTTTTTTGATGAAGATATGGTCGATTTGGTTCTGTGTAGTGTGATCCGGTGAAGTTCATGTGGTTTCGTGTATGCGTTTGTGTGGGAATATGGTGCTGCCTATAACCAGTTTATTGAAGGCACATAGGTTTGCAAATCTCTCACCATTTACGTTCCTTTCTCCCGATCCATGTCGTCCCATGATCTCTTCATATATATATATATATATATATATATATATATATATATATATATATATATATATGCATATATATATGCATATATATATGCATATATATATTTATAAAGTGAAAATCACAGAACATTGATAAATTGTCATCAGCCTTATTTAGGACTGTACAAGTATGCATCAATAGTCATAGAAACTGTTGAAATTTTCGTTGCAAATACAGCACGACGATGGATGCCACCTTGACACGATGACCGAGCTTGCATGTGATGATCCAACAGAGTAATGTTGGCTAGGACACTTATTCCCTGAGGACCTGACCATGACAGGAAAATTTGTTTGGGGGGTGAAACTAAAAACAGCAGCCTTGAGATCCACAAAGAAGTCTTACTGCCAACCGTACTGGGGTGCGACAGTATTTTCGATCAAGAAACGGTTAAGGTTGAGTTTTATTTTGCTTGACTGTTCCTGGTTTCCTATGCCATTCAGTGCAAGATGTTGGGGTAGGTACTATGGTTAGAACGTGCGTTACATATGCTAACCAATTGACCAATCTATGAAAATCTAGTCCCGTCGAGTGGTTACTCATAGTCTCCTAGAACCTCGCCCTACCTTACCTACAACTCCGGATGTGACTCAACTAGCAACTTCAATACACTTAAGAGATTATATATATATATATATATATATATATACGCTAGAAACTTACGTATATTAAGAAAGCTTGGTATAATTATTATTACTTTCAGTTTGATAATTTGCTATATAATGTACGTCATTACCTCTTAAATACACCACTATAAAATTAACTGAGACAGCAAACGAATACTTCAAACAAAGAAACTTTACTCATCAATAAACATACTGAACATGAAAATTAACATGTTTCACGTTGCTGATGGTTCTGATGAGTTACATGATATAGGACAGTTTTTTTGGTGTCTTATGGATTTAACTCCCTTCTTGATATTTAAGTTATTTGTACAATACAGGTCAAACAATCTCTACGTATTTACATATCCATTTGTTTTTAACTCACTTGCAACCCTAGAAATATTCTATAATATGGATCTAACATAATTTGAGCTAGGGCACAAACTTGAGCAGTACGATCCCATCCATCGGAACAATGTACAAGTACAGAATTTCCTTCATCTAATCGTTTTGCGACAAAATAAGCTGCTTCTAATATAGCATGTAAATGTTTCAACCAACCAGATTTATTTAAACCAGAAGTAAATTGTTCCACATTAACTGTTGGATTACAACATACTATATTGAAAAGAAATATAAGAAATGAAAGTGCTAAGTGCAAAATCCTACATTAAATACCTCATTTGCATATCATTCTTCAGTTATCCTTACACACTCCATCATTCTTCTAATGATATTGTTATCGTGATTGATCTCTGTTTTCCCTCCTTTTCTCTTTATTTCAATCTTCTGCTGGTTAACATTCTACTTCCAATTCCGGCTAAATACTACTTATATTTGTCCGCATAAGTAGCGCACACTACACGTGTACCAGCCAAAAACAACCAATTAAAAGGGTAGGGAAACATATATGACACCTCAATTACTTATCAGACTATCTACCAGTTTATCTAGGAAACCCACCGATCAATGTTTCCTTTCATCCATACAACAATAAGAATACTAGCTTTATTCGGTACCACATGTTTGGCTTACGCAGAATTTTTAGCACAAAATCGCAACAAATTTCTTGTTTTTTTTAAAAAGATCAGTTGGATTGCAAATAATAGGAAAAAGCAGCATTCCTCAATGCCTGATAAAAACGGTTTTTCTGAGTTGGCTTCCGAAGGAATTCGGCTTTCGTCATAGTTCTTCTAAGTGAAGACCTTCTGACACTAGGGCAGAGTTTAAGTGGTTTGAATAATTTTTTCTGGTTAGCGTTTTTTAGCGAGTTAGTTTTCTGCGGGATGGGGTCGCTAACCCCATGCTCAACCCTCCTCCTTTATCCTGGCTTGGGACCGGCAGTAGCCCTAGAGGAGCTCCAGGCAGAGTTTGAACGGGAGATAGCACACAATATTCCAACAATTATCCACTAACACAGGAAAAAGACGAAGTGCAGGAAAAACTAGACCGTCAAGAGAACAAGTAGAAGTGGTACTTACTTACTTACTTACGCCTGTTACCCCGCGTAGAGGGGCATAGGCCACTCAACAGCATTCTCCATACAACTCTGGCTTGGACAATCGTCTCCAGTTGTTATTCATTCTTTTGATCTCTCCTTCCGATTCTTAATGCAGTGTGTTCTTTAGTTTTTCTGTTTTCTGGTTCCCTTCAGGATTCCAAGTTGGGGCTTGCTTTGTGATGCAGTTTGATTATTTCTCCAATGTATGTCTTATCCACTTACATCATCGTTTCCTAATTTCTTCCTCAGTTGGGAGTTGGTTTGTTCTCTTCCACAGTAGGCTATTGCTGATGGTTCTGGCCAACGGACATTCAGCATCTAACGTAGAAAGTTGTTTATAAATACTTGTACCTTTTCGATGATCATTGCGGTAGTTCTCCAAGTTTCAGCTTCGTACAGTAAAACTGTCTTGACGTTTGTATCGAAGATTCTCACTTTGATATTGGTTGGGAGTTGTTTTTAGTTCCGCAAGTTCTTCAACTGCAGGAATGTTGTCCTTCCTTTGCTAGTCCTCTCCTTTACATCTGCATCAGATCCTCCTTGTTCATTGATGATGCTCCCCAGGTAAGTTTCCACCTCTCCCATGCAATAGTCGTGTATTAGTAATGGACATCTCAACCACTTCAGTCGATGAAGATTCATAATCTTATTAATTGATTTACTAACTTTGCCGAATAATCTATGTGTAATCTCAGAATTTCTCACTCAGTTATTCCACGATAAACATGTCATAATTTGAAGGTATCTATACTCAAATACTTGTTAACTTCTTATTAATCCTCTATTTTTAAGGGAATACATTTCACGGTGATAAATTAAAATAGAATTAACCTAAGTTTAGTGGCATAAATAATATAATAGGAATGGAAGTAGTAAAGATTAACTGTACATTATCGTCGACTTACTAATTTCATGAGATGATGTGGTCTTGTATAGTTTCACGAAAATATTTACATAATGTTTAAAAATGGAAATTAGTTTAATGATTAGGTCGGTCAGTCAGTCAGCCAATCATGAACAACGTAAACCCTGGCACAAATCTACATCGGTTCATGTTGAGACACCATATCAGGAAAGCGAGATGAAATTACTAAGAAAAATCAAAACAGAATAGTAGAAGTAGTAACAGTATTAATGATAATACAGAACACTAGGCATATGAAATAAAATTCGTTTTTTGGCCAGTAAATCATATCATCGTTAATTAACTTCGGCAAAATTGTTTGGAATAAACCATTGTATTAAAGAATGTCATGCTTTTATTTCTTTATCACTCCTAGTCTGAGATGTCCGTCTAACGAGCAAAGGTCTTGTATACTACGTAAGAATTCCGTCTATTCTTCTTAATGAATACGAACAATGTTCTTCAAAGTAAAAGACATTAGAACGTGGCAGGTTGACGATCAAAGGTATCTTCAAAAAATCGATAGCATTTTGCGAAACAATTGAGGCGGATATGTTGAAGTTAGGTGTAGGTCACTTGACAGTAGTGGTAAGTCAGTTGATGAGATTGTGCGCCTTGATCGGCTAAGCAGATTGGGGCATATGTTACGTATACGTGATCACTGTTTACCTTGACGAGCTATGCTTGCTAATTCAAAAATTGACTGGATGAAAGCTAGGGGACGTCAAAGCAAGACGTGGCATCAATCTAAGACTGTTGGACTGAGCTCTCCACTTAGGTGCAGACCTTTTAGTTGGGGTCAGTGCGGTTAACGCAACCAATTGATAGGGACTTTGGGTGAAATGCCTCAGAATTGTTTACAATTTGGTAGTTGAATTCACTCTTTTTATTCTTATCGGTCTTCGATAACATTATTCTTTCGTATATATATGTTCCCACGCCGTCTTCTTAAGTCATGTCCCAGACGTTTAGTCTTTTATTTTACAACTGCTACTAAATTATTTTTGTCCCTTTGATTATTTTCATTCCATTGAGTTAATGTGGCATCCCAAATTAAATCAACGCACATGTGTACCAGGCTCTATGATGATATCTGCCTGTTTTTCTACTTGTCATAGTCCCAATAAATTTTGAGTCTCAATATCATTTTACTGTATACACTTGTCTATTTCATCGCTTCTTTTCACATACATATATTCCCCTATGTACAGCCTTTCTTTATATTCTTTTATACTACTATTATGATTAGATTGAATTAGCTTTAATTTCCCTGTGATAATGCGAGTTGTAACGTGAGCAGGTGATACACATTATTAAGTGCTGATATAATGAGAAATCTTTTCAGTTTAGATGGATACGTCTGGTGGTGTTGTGTTCTCTAAGCTAGGTGGTTTAACTGCAGAGCATAGATTGTCATTCCGGACAGCAGCATTAGTGCTAACCTCATTTCGAGTTCATTATGAGGTCCAATCCCTCACTGGAAAACCTGAAGATCCCCGATTTTATTTCCACATAAAGTCATAGATGCGCAATGCTACTATGAAGCCTATTGTAGGATTTAATTTGTCCTACAGATATACTACAAGAACCGTAAACGCGATACTGGCGATCAGAGACTATATGAAAGCTATAGTCAGAACAAGGACAACTTGGCTTTAAACTCTTTATCTGTTTCGAAACGTAAAAATAACAATTCGCTTACTACAATAATTAGACGAATTATAGTCATTAAGTGGAACGCACAAACATACCGACCAGTATTGAGTGTTTTATCGAAACGAATAAAAATTATGAGTCATACTAATATAACAGGATAATAATGTCCTTCAATTCTCAGGTCACATGCAACAGGGATAGTCTACAACACATCGGGACAGATTAACATGGCGGGCGCCTAAACAACGATTTGATTGGTTAGTTATGGATATAACTAGAACGAAACAGCTGTTTAGTGCTTCCTGATTTTCAGTAATTTTCAATCTGAATTTGCTTCGTGATGTAAAACTACAAAATTCAATCGTTTCAACACGTATCTAGTTAGTGAATGGTAAAAGACATAATTAATTAGTCAAACAATAGAGTTTGTATTTAAGACTGTATAATTATACCTAAATTATTAGGTACAAGTGTTTTAAAGTGTGTAATACTTTAACCAAGTGCAATATCTGTCTAAATAATATTTTTCTTATTTACACTAAATAATCCAACCGTGCTATTAGTAAGGCTTCGCAATTTCTTCATTCATATTCAGGATTTAAATTCATCAATCTCTGCTGCCATATGTACCTCCTGTGAAGAATGCATCGACATAACCTGTAATCACAATGTTTTATTATATTTTTGATTAACAGTGGAATCTAGAACACATGTTTAATCTTACCTGGAACTCCTCAGTTCGATACACACGAATCCCAATGTTAGTGTTCACATTGAGATCCGAACACAATGTCAGTTGTTTCCAAAACTATTGTGTTATCAACTTAGCTAATGAGTCCAGATAACCACCAGATGTTTTTTTTATACAAAGTAATTAATAAAATAGCTTGTCGTTTACCACGATATGATAAAATAAGACTCTAGATCCTAGATACGATACACCGATAATCGACTGAGTACATTAGGTCGATACACTAGATATACGATTATTAGGCCATCATATTTTGTCAGATGGTAAGCATATACACAACTTCCGGTTAATACTATTGAGAGTCAGACTAAACTAACCAACAATTTACTGACACAATAACAGGAATTCAATATGATGTAAAATCCATAGTAGAAATCAATCTTGTGCATTTAACGATAAAATACGTAATAGTTTACACAAACAGACCTATTTGTCTTTTTTCAGTAACAATCATAACTCATTATCACAAGGCACATCAGTACTATAATATATTTTCTAACTAATATGTGACAACAAAACTGCCAAGTTCATTTTAAGAAAATGTGACAAAATGTTATTATTATTATTATTATTATTATTATTATTATTATTATTATTATTATTATTATTATTATTATAATATAAATCACCAGTCGGTGTTTAGTGTAATCACTTAGATACATAATCAGGACAGCACTTTTTTTGTTGTTAATGATAAATATGTTGATATGTAACGACTAATGACGAATCACAAGAGATGGGACTAAAATTAGGACTACATAAAAATTTTATGCAGAAATAAATAACAATTAAAGAATAACTACTTAAGATTTATGCATTTTTTTTATCTCGCCTCTTACGATACCGCCATAGAAATTGGTTATTTGATTAAGAACACTACCGAGTTTACTCTGGAAAGATTACTGGTGGATGTATAAATGAGACGACAGTTTATGGGTGACCATTTAGAGAGACACTAAAGTAATCTTGAGAAATTCCAACCACTTACTAGTCTTAAAATAGAGTCATAAATGAGTGTGAGGAATTAGGACTAGAAGCTAGAGTTGAGGTTTACAATACTAGATGGGATTAACTATGATGTGAAAATGTCATTTAAGTGTGAGTTTATCTATCCTTCTTCCAATATTCAATAAAAGCTCAATACTTAGTACATTTCCGTTCATTTAGTGTGTGAGTGCTACAAGTAACAACATAATTTTTACTGGGCATTTCATCTCAGTTATTTAGAAGTGTCTACTTATGGTTTCTGCAGACGCGCCACTGTAGTACATTCCTGCTTGCCGGATGAAATAAAAAGTAAAAAAACAAAAGTCAGGACTTCAAATGAAATCCTGTCTGAAAATTATGCACTTATATGCAGCAATCGCCCATTAAATGAACAGAAGAAATACCCGAAAATGTTTAATATCGCACACATATTGAACATTAAAAAATGGGTTGTCTAAAAATTCACGGACACATATTCTGTATTCAATTTAACCAATTTCTATTTATCCTATTCATAGTATTGATCGAATTCTTGTTAATGGAGTTTAGAATGTAACCATCTATCAGATTAAGTGATGAGGTTTTATATAAGTAAATATACATTAGTGAAGACTATATGTAATCTAGGAGAAATTGAAATTCCCTGTATGGATCGAAATATGTGTCACCGAGTACACTGATGTTTGCTAATATTTCTCTTCATCAATCTAACGTTATGCATCAATGAATTTTGTTTCTAACTAAGAAATCTGTAATTAATGACATAGGGGTCGAATGTTTCCCGACTAGTCAGCGGAAAAACTTTGAGCCTCAGTTGTACGCGGTGTTTTATCAATATTTATCAATAACATTTATAATATAGCTTATGATAGTGTTCGGAACCGTAAAAACAAGGACACTATCATTGAGATAATGGAGTTTGAAAGTATCTATGAATAGTAGTCTCACGATGTTCATGAATTGATTGTCAATGGATAGGTACTTGCTTTGTCGTTTACATTAAGAAATATGAATTATTTTAGTTCGATCTTTGAGAGAAAGACAATCGATTGTACATACTCACTGTTAGAGAATACTAAATTAATCAAGTATTCCAGTAAATGGATAGTGTATGGAAACGAAAATAATTCATAAACAGAATTTAATGAACCTATTGAAGTCTCCTACAGTTTTCTCTGTCTATAAATCAAAAATACAATGATGAACACTCGTCACTTATAAGGACTCAAATAGATTTTAAGAGTTCCCACCTGGTACATGTTTAGGACTAAGTATATAGGGATGGAACTAGAGATTTAGGGCTATAGATTTTATCATTAATCTACAACAATTATAATACAAAAATGCTCTACAGATGAATGTATTTCGCTTAAAGGCTCAAGCGATGTCTATAAAATAAAGTCCCACTAGGTTAGGGTTGTACTCAAAATATATTTTACTTGGTAACTACTTTGTCTTAAGATATCAGTTCAATTAGACTACATGTATATTATCAATCGATCAATGCCTCTAATTAATTAATATAAAAATCTCTAGACGTCTTCTCATTACAAAATTATAAAAGGTTAACTCATAGCACATAAAAATCACCGAGATATGTATCCAAATAATATTGAGGTACGAAACTGTAAAATGTGACAACAGGTTTAATTATGAACTTACTGATAAATTACAGCAAGTGAGTTTAGACGTGCAGTGTATTGTGAACGATAACTAATGGAAAAGTTTATTAGCATCAGGAAATCAAGTTGCATTTTGAAAAACTGTTTGTTAACCAGTAATCAAAGATGCACAAGCTGAATGTAATTAAAGAGTAGAAATATTAATGAAGTTTATTTCCAAATGAAGTTTAACTTAAGTATCTCCATAGATTTGATATGATTAAATCAATGTGAAATACTCAACGTTAGGTACAGGTGGCAAGCGTATAAATTCTTGGTTCACTATGACTGAACAAGTAATAATTTACATTATGTAATAAATAACAGACGAGCTTTCGAACTGTGTAAAATGTTAAACAAACTTCATTAGCAGTATAGATGATTACATAGCATCGTATAAATTTATGAATCCTTTAGAAAATCCCTTGGGAATTGTAACTTTTAACCGGTCTTATTTTTGTCGTGACTTTTGTATATCACCATTAACTATACTTAAACTAGTCCTGATCATTTTAAAGTGCTAAATGATTGATTTTCTCAACAAAATTCTCATATAATCCCTTCAAACTACCACTAGGAAAGTCAACCAGAGTACCAGATACCCTTCTAAACCACTCAGATTATGATAATTTATATAAAAGGCGAGACAAAAATCTCTCTAAATAATAAATCTTAATAAGTATCTACGAGGATACATACAGTACAAAACAGCGCAATAGCTTTATAACTAATTTAGGCCCTCTTCGCGGGACTTGAAGTTCTTGAGTTACATCATCGGTCGGGTCGTGGATATAAACTGTCATTGTGGACTCTCATACTAAGATGAAACACCTGTCCAATGCTACTACTACTGTTAGGCATGTTAGATCACCAGAACTCACTTGGTGAATATCTTAATTTTGTAATTTTATTTTGAAAATTTAAATTTCCTTGTTTTCGAGTCAAAAACGCAATTTTCACCTTCATGTCGTATTTACGATTTGGGAGAATCATTAACGTCATTGGTTCGCTGTGTAATTTTAGTTTGCTATTTTTTCCACGTTTCCCAAGGACAGATTTCTACTGTATATATATCTTTGAATTGTGTCTGTTATTATTCACTCGTCATTCTGAATTACGGAATATAAATTCCCGTTCCAAACATCGATATCTTCCTCTAATTAACGGAGCTGGGACACATAAAATAGCTAGCTTAAAGTCTATGGTACGTTTCGTCCTAGTATGGGACTCCTCAGCAGTGCGCATCCACGACCCTGCACTACCCGGGGCTCGAACCCAGGACCTACTGGCTTCGCGCGCGAGCACTCAACCATTAGACCACTGAGCCGGCATCCAACGGTGTTAATGTCTAACTCATGAGTTCAATCTGTGAAAATTTCTAAAAATCTCCACAAAACACATTCTGATAATACTTTCAATTTGTTACGGACCTAATTTTCTACGGACACAATACTAAACTGTCGAAATTAGAGTCTTACTTTGGCCAAAATCAGAACAAGCAAGCTATTTGTCTTGATAAGGATTATCCTCTTCTAAAACGTAAGTTAATACCGTTAGTATACAAAAAGAAAATTAATAAGGTTTATTAAACAGGGGAAATCACAGATTAGTCAAGCATCTATCTTTTTGTTAAGTCAGTAAACAGTCTACGAAAATCTCATAGACTAGATTTCAAGTTTGTTACTCATTAGTGAAACGTAACCGAACCCACTGACCAAATAAATGCCTACGTTACTATTTGTAACTAAATATTTTGAAATTACATAAAACAGTCAGTGTTTATGTTAATGTCTAGATAAATGAATGTTAGTAGTAAGGGAATCAGTGGAAATGTAAAACCCTAAAAGTTATTCTCAAGGAGAATCAGGATACATATTTTTAACTACTTAGTTTATGGCTTTTTTTTGAATTTTTATAAATATAGGCTTTTATTTGAATCATTAGTTGTTGTTATATTGTTGACAGCTTATAAATAGCAGTGAATTAATCACTAAAATGTCACACAGATATGTAACAATAATGTTATAGTTATTGGATATATTAAGGTTTATTGTTTGTGATGCTTGCACTCTTATATTTTATTATCAGTCATGCGAGATTTTATGTTTGAATATAATATAGAAAAATAGGTAATATCTGGCTGTCCTTCCTAGTGTTCTGATTGGCAAACTCGAACAATTGTTCATTAACGGGTAAGTTTAGGGTTGAGGATAAACATCTCGTTTCCGAGTCAACTGAGTTTAATCAGGAACTGAGATTATGTTTTCGTTTATTTAGTCACACACTTGTAGATATTTTGGGATAATTTCTATCATAGAATTAATAGGAGGTGTGTCTTTTGCTATGTTGTGGTTTTTCTCCCATCATGACTGTCTGCCATACACTCGGCATATCCATAGAATGATGGAGTGGTATTTTCATCGTAGAAAACTCTACATCTTTCATGTAAGCCAGCGAAAACGATGGAGAGCAAAACACGCCCTTCATCATAGGCTGTGATTGTGTGAATGATAATTCCCGCTTCAGTTTGGTTGGCTACCACATGCAGGATCGAAATTACGAATGGTAGTGGAGTTTATTCTCATCCGATTTTAATTTACTGATGAGGTTGAAAAAACCGTGATGAATTTTTCGACCAATCCTTAGCCAATCAGTAAGCATACTTCGTAAGTGGATGGTGCCTGGACAAGGAAAACAGAATGTTACCAAATAATAGCGGGTTTTACGTGTTTAATAAATCTAGTATGGTCATTCACAGGTTGCTCTGCCTGTTAATTGAAAAAAAAACATGAATTGGTGAGACCATAATTTATGCACGACCTTTGAGTGACGCTGAATTGACTTAGAGAATGTCCACCTACCAAGCGTAGCTCAATGAGGGTTAGAAACCAGTATGAGGGATTAGAATAATGATTTAGAGTTGATGGTTAGGGTTAGGAATTAGATTTTCGGTTTTCATCACGAACTGACATAAACTAAAATACCAAAATGCTATATAGCCAAATGGATGAATGGATTTCGCGCCAAAATCCCAGACCTGTTATATATCATTGGTTTGTCCATAAATTATAGTCTCGTTCATAAATTCTTTTACATGGTAGTGATTATCTTTCTTTCAAAAGTAGCCAAATATATTTTTAGGCGTCCTTACATTATTCTTATTTAAGCTTGTGCGTTTCGGGTTAGAGCTTTCATCCCGAACTGACATCAACCATAATGCATAATTTGGAGAGAAAACCCAAGAGGCTCCATACGATTAGTTCGTCCACAAAATAAAATGTATTCGAAAGCAGAACTGCAGCCAGCTGAGAGATCTGACGATAAGTCACTTGAAATATCAAAAGTCTTTATTTGAAAAAACATCATTTTAAAAGTACAATCACATCTGTTGGATAAAAATTATTGATTTGCAGATGTGACCTTGAAACTATTTGACCAATCAAAATGACTGATTTATTGAGTGTAGGTGTTATCCAGAAATTATTTGAAATTTACTATTCTTAAAATATTCACATATTCACCAATGTAGTAACTGTCACATTTCATAATTGGGGATTAGTTTTTTCGTTGAACTAAAAGAAGTTTATTTTATTCAGTTGATTATTGTGTAATAATGATATAAATGAATAAGGTTTAGAAAAGAATGAAAAGAATCATACACTTTGTTAGATTCTCAATTGTTCTACAAGAAATCTATTCACAATAAAGAAAATAAATAAATAGACGAGTTCTTTTTGTTGTTGCTAACTATCACCTCAACAAAAAAGTAAGGAGAGTCAATTAATTTAATCATGAAATTTAAATTTACTCTCCTTACATCATGGACACTATTACCAACGTCCATACCAAATACTGATTGTGAAGATAATGAAGCAATATTATTTGCACAATACTTAACTGAATATACAGAGAATAAATATGGTTTAAATGTATTTTGGCCAAGACAACGTGGTGAAGCATTTTTGCATAATTCATTCAATTCATTTGAAGAGAGATTTTTAACACATTCTGAATATGCATTACTCATTGTATCTGGTCAAAATGCATCATGTTTAAATTGTATTTATCCAAGATTTCTTGTATTTTTAACAGCTAAAAAATCATGGACTGAAAGAATTTTAATAATTTTTTTAAAACAACCAACATATTTAGTAAATTTCGATTTAAGTTTATTAAAACATCCACCAATTTTATTCAATGATGATTCAACTAATCAGTGGATTCATGACCAAGAATCATGGATGAAAGTAGCAGAACTAATAAAAAGTAAGTAAATTTCAATGATTATGATAATCGTTTTAATTCAGCACTATATAGTTGATTACATAGAGAGATTTTCAGTAAAATATGTACCCATTTAAACATTAAAATTAAAAGACGAATTTCAGCGGAGGGATCTCTTTCCAACGAATTTATTATCAAGCTGTACAATCGTATATAGATGAAAATTTTTGTTCCTCACGGAATTAGTACTTTTACAAAAACAAAAATTTTCATATATATACGATTGTACAGCTTGATAATAAATTCGTTGGAAAGAGATCCCTCCGCTGAAATTCGTGTTTTAAAATATGTACAATATTTAAACAAATCCACGTTAATATATTCAATGGATGTAATGAAAATGTTTTTTTTCTGCACAGATTCATCCCCTACTCAAATGTTTTCAAGTAGTTTTGATCTTATAAAATCTTTCTATATTGATTAATATATTTTGATTCGAAAATTCTATTATAATCGATTGTCATTATTGCAAAGGATAACTAAATCATTGGGGGGGGGAGGTAGTATCATTTGATTTTTATATATTTAACTTTGCTGTAGGTTATAAGGTTTTTATAGAAGTATGTGAGTATAGAAAGTTAACATAAATAATTAGTTAGTCTAAAAAGATTCAATTACAGTGTTTGCATAATTTGAAAGTAGGTGACCCATAAGTTCAAATAATTCTTCAATAATCATGTGTTTTTAATTGAACTTCTATTTATGTACTCAGATAAATGAATATTACGTGAGAAATGTAATTCATTTTAGTATCTAACAATTTAACTTTGTAGTTGATTTCCATCTACCATTAAGGTTTTAGTTAAGTTTATCAGTTAATTTACTTGACGTTCCTTTGTAGTTTCTGTTGAAATTGATATTAAACATGAAATCTGATGTTTTGGTGCCGACTGATCTGACTCCAATTTGCATGAACGTATGAATATACTATGAATATAAATCTTCAATTTAACTCCATATATTACATAGGCTACCCCGTTTGTATGACAGCGGTAGTAAGAAGCCAAGTACTGGTGGCGTTGGGGCAATTTATTTCAGGTATTCGTTTATCCAGATACAGAATCAGAATGAGACGCGGTAAAGAGAAGAGGAGAGAGAGAAGCAAAATGAAATGACGCGCGGTGGAGAAGGCGAGTGAGCCAATTCGATTTAACCAACAGTGACTCAATATTTATAGTCAGACCAAAACGACGTTACAGACATGATGAATGAGGTAAGTAATTAACACACATGCAATTATATAAAAACAGGTTAATAAGTAAATACGTGACAAGGTAGAAATGTGGCTTGAGAAGAATGAACAGATTGATTTGTCCAGAGGCTAGAATAACCTATGAGGGCTTGACGTAGTACCGGCCTCCACAGTGTATGTCAATCAGCAAGCACCAAAATTAAAGATATTACCGTTGATTTATTAAAACAGTAATTAAATTTCTATCGAAGTGTATTAACTAGAAAACGTCCCTCAGAAGTAATGAAAATCCTCTGTCAATTTAATTTCATATAAAGGAATCAAAGACAAAAATAAATATAGTGTTCGGTACAAACTTGGAAGATATATTCTGTTAAATTTTCAAGAAAATCTTAGGAAAAGTGGTTTGCTGAATATCTTGCAGCTAATCGCCTAAGCCTAGGATTTTTACTAGTTGTCACTTGTCAACAAAACGTACCTAAGATCTCGTGTCACTCAGCTTTACAACCTGAGACGTTATTCGAGCAGCAGCTGACTTTGCGTAGTATTGTGATATTTAAATTTGATTACCACTGTCATGTTTATTTAGTTCTTTTTAGTGCTGACCGAATTCTACCGATTGCCAACGGATGTTAACTGATGATAAATCTAGGCTTACGGTTTCCTGCCGAATATCTTTAACCACCTAACACTTCAGCATAGTGCTCACGGTGTTGAGTCTTTTAGGTTTGTGACCATATTTCCATTTGATCGACAGAACTCGTAAAGTACAAAAAAGACTAGACAAACCTGACAGTGGTCATTACCCAGTTAATAATTAGTTGTATTAATTAACTTTATCTATTTTATTTCTATATTATGATTTACAAAACGGTTCACTACTTTAATATTATTTTTCCTCTGTGTGTATCATACCGTCACTCATTTTTTATTACTAACTTACTTCAGACACAAGTTGTGTAATCCACATTGCATTGTGAATTAAACAGTAAAAGCATTTGTAATCATTTGGTTCATTAATTTCTCACTGTAACTAACGCTGGTTGTTATAATGTCTGTTTACTTCAATTAAACTATTTTGTCCCACTGTTAATCAGATCATGTCGGTTTTTATAGAGAATCTTTAAGTTTAATTGTCGAGTTAATGCAATTCAAAGAGGTAAAGTCATCAGTATATTCTACTTGTAACATAGAGCATTATACTAGACGGGAGACCAAAACAACATATCATATACATGTTGGGGACGATAGATCCCCAGAACTCACTTGGAAAAGAACCTAATTTTGTAATTTTATTTAGAAAATTTGAATTTCTTTGTTTTCGCGCCAAAGGCGGTCTTGTCACCATCATGTCGTATTTCCCACACGGACGAATTTTAAATGCTATTGGTCCGTTGAGTCTTTTAGTATGCTATTTGGTAACTCTCCCCAAGGACGGTTTTGCAATTAATATATACGTTTTGAATTGTGTTTTTTTGTTATCGCTCGTTCCTGGCTGTTTTGCAGAATATAATTCCAATTCCAAGGTTGGACTTTTCCCTCTAGTTACCGGGGCTGGGACGTATCAATAGCTAGATTACTGGTCTTTGGTCACCGAGTCTTGATCTCGTTCGCCGATTAAGTGAACTCGTGATAGCTTCAAACCTAGCGAATTAGGCGACGGTGGTTTCGGAAATATGGATCATTCTAAACTTGAATTATTACACGAGCAGCAGATGAAACTTATTCAGATGTTAGCAGATACAAAGCTTATGTCTAATACTAAACCAAGCAGTTCTACTACTACTACGACTACTACGACTACTACGACTACTACGACTACTACGACTACTACGACTACTACGACTACTACGACTACTACGACTACTACGACTACTACGACTACTACGACTACTACGACTACTACGACTACTACGACTACTACGACTACTACGACTACTACGACTACTACGACTAAATAAATACACTGCTTCTCTCATCTTCCCCGTTCTGTTTTCTTTCGAGATTGAGTTAACTGATTTATATAACAAATATTATTTATATTCATAGACTGTGATAGCGCAGACACCATATCTTACTTTGGATTACACCACTGGGGAGTTCATCGATACTTTTCTAATTAGGAAGCATCTATAATTGTGGATGTATTTTACCAGAATAAATGCGAACACGTATCATTTTGGGTGAACTTAAGTAAAGTCGCATTTTTATTGTATTTGTAACATTTAACTGATATATATTAATATTACTATTGTTTTTTATTAACTTTGTTGATACTTTTTGCGTTTATATATCGTCTGGTCTACCACAGTATCAATGGCAAGGTTGGACTTGATGGTTTCAAGCAATTCGAGCATTGAGTAGAAGGTTAATAATAAATATACTTTTTGTTATATCCCAATGAGTAGAAAAATATATTTCTGACGTTTCGTGACCTAATGTACTCCACTTCTTCAGAATAAATAAATGACCGACATTAAATTAACACAAGTCTAAATAGTCCAAAGGAAACAATTCAGAATCTTTTAGTACAATCGAACTCATAATAGGTTTGAATATGTCAATGTTAAGTAATTTATGGTCAAGGTGAATTTGTATGTTCTGTCACTGTATTAATTTGTGTCAGAATGCGGGTATAAAAAATGCGTGTATTTGTAAAATGATGTAGTGGGTTGTTATGTCCCGATGAGAATAATGAATGGTAACTGTTGGAATACATTTCTGGACTAGTACTATACATGTATTTCTATTGTATAATTGTTAAGTAACTATTCATATTTGTTCACTTGGTGCTGTTTTACTCGTATCTTCCCATTGTTATTTAGGACTCTAATCAATCAGTCTCATGTTGGCATATGTGCATCCTGTGCAGATTGCCTCAAGTCATATTTGTGTTTCTCTTGTTATAAGCTTTATTTTGACCCATAGACTATTATTATACGATTTATCGTTCTTGAGTTATGCCCAGTCTATCAATTACTATCTCTCACATTCACAGTAACTTTAGGCTAAATCTTGTACAAATGTTATTTTCTATTTTATGGTACGATGTGGTCTGTCTGGTTGGCATGTAAACCTAATATGTTTGAAATACATGATTCACATCAGAGGCTGAGACCAGTGTTCTGGATTTAAAAGACAGGGGTAGGTAGGAACAAGGATTCAGAGCTAGTAAATCTAACTATTGGGTCCGTAATGTATGGTACCACCGGGTTAAGATTTATTTCAGGATTAATAGTTACGATTTGAAAATATTACTTACTCGTCTGTTATATACAATCTACAAAGTAGAATTGGTGTATTTAATACGTCTAACACTATTCTTTACAAGTTATGACGACAGAAAGCCATTTTCCAATACCATTTCAAACGATTTCAGTGCTATACAAAAGTATTTCTACTGCCTGCTATACATGTTTAGATTTTGAGCACAAATATAAGTCGATTCTGATTGGCTCGTTTCTATACTAAGTTTTTACCATCCATCATCTATATTCGATCGATAAGCTTATTTTGTGATAAACTCGCTGTGATTCCTCCGAAGCAACTTGACCAAATCGAGTTGACTCATTCGCTTTGATTTCTCGCTTTTCACTGTTCGGATCAACGAGTTTACGAAATAAACGTATTCAAACTTCATCCTCGTATTTGACTTAGTTTATTTCATTATTCTCTAACGTGAATTAAGTCGATAATTATGTACGAAGATAATCAGAATGTATATTTTGATAACATCATCATACCATCTAATTGGAGCCAAACCAAACTGCTATAAAAGTCTCATTATGAAATACAATGTTTTAATAACAAGAATAAGGGGTATGAGAAAGGAGAGTAGAACGAAAAAAGAAGACAATCCTCGTCAGACCAACCGTTACTATATCGACTGATTATCAAGTCAACTTTGAAATCATAGCAAAATTCAGCAAAAGCAGCATTGACCAAGAGGGTGAGTGTATACAAGGAGTTAAAAATGGGAAAATCAATAAAGAAATAAGGAAAGACCACATAATTTCCTCTGAAAAACAACACAAATCACAAGCGACAAACAACAACAACGGAATAGGTTATTGTGATGTTATGAAATAATTTATATGCAAATAATAAGTGTACAACGAGAAAAAGGTACTAGACCTTAGAAACCCGGTGGAATACAAACGTAATAATAACAATACTAGTTTGTAGACAGAAAGGAACCAGTTAAATCACAGATAATTCAGTTTCAATGGGAATTATATAATTTGCCAATACTTGAAGCCTAGAATCATATTATCTTGATGAAGAGAACGACAGACAACCATTTACCAGCCAACACAAACAACTGAATATCAACTTGAATGTCACATACATCTGTCAATTATCAACCAATCAGTCAATCAAACAGAGTCAGTTATCCAAAAGTCAGTGGATTTTTTAAAAACAAACAACTGTTATTTATGCAGTAGTGGTAGTAGCAGGAATTTCAAGTGATTCCATTTGAGTAAAATGTTTTACATGAGAACTGCCAGCACTGCTGCTGTAATTACAGATATTACGCAATCCGGAGGCGCATAGATTACAAAACTGTACAGATCTTTGTTCATTTGACCATAAACTTGGGATTTTTGGTGGGTTTGAGTGAATACACCGAGAGCATGTAAGCAGACCACATGAATGACAATGAACCTGTTTGTTTTTCCGGAAGATTAATAAAAACACAATTAAAGACCAATATATGACATTGAGCATAAATTTCACTGTAGAAAAACTCAGTGACAAAATTAAATGGTACCGTCTTTACGGCACGCTTCTTGACGATGTGCAAACACTGACTTTAAATAAGACGGTTCCCCACAGGATTTTTACAAACACTGTGGTAAACACGATATCACAAAGTCACTGTTTTGAAAACCCACGGTCGGGGAACATTATGGACATTTGGATTTCAACTAGAAAGAAACTGCTGTTATCAAAAGCTTACTTAGCTTTACATGAATCTACAACTTCTGAACTAATAGAATTATCTCCATTTACACAGAACATGAAAGAAAATAGTGACATCAAAACATGTTGATACGGTGTTGTGTCCTCCATACTCGATTGGTTAATTATAGACTTTTGATTACATTTTTAGACAAGGTCATCAATACATACTTCGAAAGGAAGTGAGTTATTAAAATTTCTTTACAATTGACTAACAGCTTGTTCTGCGGACTTGACAGGTTGGATCTTGTTTGATCGGTTATTTTTTGTGTTGTCCGATTCTGATATTGACATACAAGCTTCTTATACAGTAGCCCAAACCAGCTAGTTGAATGAGAAGGAAGCTTTGATGACCGAAACTAAATCAAGAATGTATATTTACTTAATCATGAATACATATCTCTATCCCCTACAACATGAGGTCAAGTTTTCGACAAACCACATGTGATTTTTTTACTTGGAGAGGGAAGCCAAGTCCTGTTCAATAGCGTAAGGTTGTTATTTGACCTGTATCTGACTCCCTAAGAATGTCACATTTAATTTATAAATATTCAGAAAAATATGTATAAATCGTTTTTAAACAGCAATTTATCGCTCAATATCTAGGATCAGTCTTTTTTCAGTGCAATTCTCTTCATCCCTGAATATATCTGCTGCATTAATTCCATGGTAATTGCTTTTCGTTGCTCCAAAAAATAGAGGGGTAAGAAGAAAATTATACGGACCAGCGTGATGGTACCTCTTGATAAGATTTCTTGTAAAAAGATCGTATGAAAGCGCGTAAATACGGTTGATAGACAATAATTCATTAAAACAATCGGAAATATGGTGGTGAATACGTTTGAACAGCCCATCGTGTCATAACCATGCCTACTAAGTAGCTTGTATTACATACTTACCGATTGATTTGACAAAGCTAACAAACTATTACATACACAGCATAAACTTCCTGATTTAAAGCAATGTGTCCAGTTCACGTTGATTATACTCATCTCACATTTCAATTGTCCAATGGTGGGTTGAGATAAACGCTTTTGATCACCTAAAAATTTGTTATCCGAAGAGAAAAAGAATTAGAAAAACTCAATATAGTATCACGTTACAATTGGACGGATATCGTAAAGGTTGGCAATTTTCGGAAGTATTTCTCAGATTATTGTCATTTATATTTTATCTTTAACTGGTATTATTGTATTTCTATGTTTCCTCCATGATAGACTTACTAAGCATTGTTATGCGCTTTATTATTTATTTATTTTAACAAATAGACATTGGTACAAAGAGGCACTAAATACATATGCGCCACACAAATCTCATTCGATATGTGTGTGGGCTGTGATACTGCCCGGGCGCCCGGACCGAAGCAGGTGGTTTTCTCAGGGGGCCAAACCCAGAGCCTCCGACCTGAAGGTCTGATCCACAAGGCAGTGTAGCATCGTGAGGAGATGCAGTCCCATGGTAGCCGGTGACCAAGAATTGGTTCATATGCCATTTGTTCCTGTTAAAGCGCCGGACATTCGCTTTTCGTCCTCTCATTTTCGTAAACAACACCACCGCCACGAGAAGGCAGTGAGTAGGACTACCCTGGCAGAGACTCCGGGTTGATCGTACGAAGATGTTATGAACATAAATTTTCTATTTGACTCCGTATATTACCTAGGCTAATTCAGTCTGTGTAACGGCGGTAATAAGAAGCCAAATACGTGTCGTTGGATGAATTGATTTCAAGCACTCGTTTATACAGACAGACATTCAGAATGAAGAAGCGGGAAAGCGAGGGAGCCAACTCCATTCGGTCAAGCGTGACTCAGTGTTTATAGTCAGACAAAAAGAGGTTATAGATAGTCAAGGCTAATAAGCGAATAATTAACAAGGTCAAAGTGTGACCTGAAAAGAATTAGTAAGTAGATCTGTACGGGAGCTAGAATAACCCACGTGGGCCTGACATGGTACTAGACACTACAGCTTCGCTCCTGCCACTCATGGCATGATTGTATTTTTAGTGGCCCTGTATGCGATTCCAATTAAATCGTATGCTGATTGTCATCGAAATGTACATGCCTCCTGTTGTGACTATTAAGCATGGTTTAATATCACGTGATTTATTCACCAATCGGAATACGACTTATACAATCTTAGCGGTGTGCCAAACCAATGATGTGTTGTCCTTACTGGTTCTTTGTTCTTCAAGTTCTCCCAGTTGAGTCCCAAACACCGATACAAGCTTCCGCTATGCGAATCAATTATTTCAAACCTACCTGGTTTATATACAAACCAAACGGACCATATCACAAAATAAAATAGGGAATAACATTTGTACATGTTCTAGGCAAAAGTGGCTGTGATGGTGGGAGACGGTAATTAATAAACTGAGCATAACTTGGGAATAGTAAGTCGTATAATAATAGTCTATAGGTGAAAATAAAGCTTATAATAAGAGAAACATAAATACATATAATCTAGTTACTGAATAGTTGTAATATATATATATATATATATATATATATATATATATATATATATATATATATATATATGTATAACATATTAGTCTATTAATAGGTCTCAGATATTGCTCGTAATTTAATCTTTATAAAGATATGACACTGCCTATCCTTGTACATAATTATCGACTTAATTCGCGTTAGAATATAAACAAGTCAAATACAAGAATGAAGTTTGAAGTGAGCCAACTCGATTTAACCAATCGTGAATCGATAATTATAGTCAAACAAAAATAAGTTAAAGACACACGATGTATAGGATGAGTAATGAACACACATTCAAATAAAAATAGTCAAGAATAATAAGCGAATAGTTAACAAGGTAAAATGTGGGTTGAGAAGAATGAATAAATTGGTTTGTCCAGAAGATGGAATAACCTTTGCTGGCTTGACATAGTACCAGCCACTACATGTTCAACGTGTGACTTCTTATTCGGTGTGCTGTGCAATTTGATAATTCGTGCTTAGGTAAGCCAATATGTGTTTAAAATAGTTGTTGACTCGGTGATTGGAACATAATAGTTGAAGTTTGTCTGTTGAATTCTCTTCCGACTTAAGACTAGAGATTGAGAAAGGTTTGCGAATAGGTGTACCAGTAGGAGTGGTGTTGATGTCAACTGAAGGTCAAGTGCACAGATCAGGATATATAACTGACTAATCCCAAGATGCCAGGCTACAGAGAGAATAGCAGTTGCGGGATAGAAGAAATTATAATCGGAAATATCACTGAAGAACTCAGCATGTGATATCCACTAAGGTCTCAAGTCTCAACATACTATACATATGATTGAAGTGTATTCATAACTGTATATTACACAAAGTACATCGATTGATTAAATTAATGATAAGACTGGTAGTTCATTGGACTCTGGTGGTTATGTGAATTCTTAACTGAATTTTTAATTCGCACAATGTTCCCAGCTTCTCAATGCCGTACACTAGAAACTAAAAGGCGGAAATACAGACAACAAAGGATATTTTCCGATGATTACTAAAGAATGCAACAGACTAAAAGACTTTTACGAAAGTGTTAAACTTCCACCTTCATCAATCAGAGTGAAGAAAAGCGTACTGAGTTAACTTCCTCATTATACTGGTGTGGGGTAGGAAAGTGTTTAGATCATATCGACTAAAAATGTATCCCATTAGTTAATGAGTAGATCAGAATTGGAAACAATGTAAATAAGAAAATTCAGTCTAAAAATACTTTGTTTATTTTAATCACCTTTAGACCCTCCCCTCAGCAGTGTTTATGTTGACTTTAACAAGCAAAGCATGTTTTAATACGTGCAAGGCAGCTATTGGGCAGCTGAAATACAAGAATTATCAAATCACTAGAGACTTGAAAATTTTACCATGCCGTAATTTTCTTTATTTCGTGTAGTTATTCAGTTATCATCAACATAAAACCTGGCCTAAGTTTTCATACCGTATCGGCTTGACGAGATGAAAATAACGTGGTAGTAATGACAACGAGAAAGTATGAAAAGTATATATGAAGGAATACTAGAATTCAAGATAGAAAGTGCTAGGTTTGAAGCGGTTACGAGTTCACTTAGACTGCGGACGGAACAAAGACTTGTGACCGAAGACCAATGAACTTGCGTTCAAGCCTCGCTAACTAGAGAGAGAAGTCGAAGCCCGAACGGGGAAGTATATTCCGCAAAAGCCAGAAGCACGGGCGATAACAACAGACACAAATCAAAACGTATATATATACAGCACAAAACCGTCCTTGGAAAGCTTTACAAAATAACATACTAAAAGACACTGGACCAATAGCGTTTAAGATTCTCCCAAGTGGCGCGAAAACAAAGAAATTCAAATTTTCTAAATAAAATTACAAAATTATGTCCTTTTCCAAGTGAGTTCTGGGGACTTAACGTCCCCAACAGAAAGCCAGATAAAGAGTGAATCTATCTATGTCACAGTGATTGAATCTGACTCGTATGACTCAATGTCTCTAATAACTGATAGCAATTATCCCGCGGAACTCCATTCAGGATTCCGTATCTAGATAGAAAAGTGTGACAGTTAGTGACATCTTGGACTGATGTCATATCTTGTTATGGATATACCATTGGTTTTTTCTAACCACCCCCCTCACTGATAAGCATCGCTCGTCGTCAAAGTAGATGGTGGTTAGGCATATGTATAACAAGTATGTGCTAACCACTTCAGTCAATGAAGATTAAACAATCTCGACAACGGATTTTTTTTACCTTTGCCTAGCAACCTCCATACGTAAACTTCATTATTACTTACTTGGTCATTCCACGAGACGCGAACAATACTTCAAAGATGCCTATAATCAAACTTCATTCCACATTATTACATTTAATCAATATATGCGTAACGCCCAAAGTATTTTATGCTAAATTCCAATGAACGGGGAAAAAAAGTTCCTTAATAATTTAATAAACACCATACATTATATCAACTTCAAGTTACGCTTACTCGTAATTGAATTCTGTTTTGTAAGAACACGAGAATGATTATTAGCATTATTGTTAAGGGTTGGTGACGATGTGATTGTACGTTGAAAATGAAATAAATTGGAGATAGTATCTATGATCGTCTGTTCATTTCCATCATTGTTCATAAGCTAAGAGGAATTTTTTCATATAAAATAACATGGTTGAAGTAAAATAAAACAATAAAGAAATAAACAGATTTTTATAAAATCCAATCTCAGCACCCGCGAGGCTCGAACCTGGGACCATCGATATTCCATGTAAAAACTTAAACTCTAGACCACTGAGCTCGCACCCAACAATGTTAATGTCTAACTTCAATCGATCTCGCGCAATCCACTGTCTGAGGCGAGTAATTCTTTAATCTATAGGGATCGGATTCTACTGGTCATGACTTTTTCACTAGAAATCCAGGAAATCCATCTTGAAGCTAGTCACTAGTGAGCAAATGATTAATTTAATCATGTAGATCACATTGTTGTTTGATATACAACTGGTTCGTATATGAAACAACCTTGTTATCTTTAAAGAAGAGTGAGTTCCAGAGAAACGACGTATTAATGTAAACATGTAGAGTATCAACTTTGAAAGTAATGGTGCAAAATATTGTTCAGTATGTAATTTACATCACCGTTTGACATTAGTTGGACGATTATAACGAAACGGAAAAAGCATAGGGTAGCTCCATTTGGTTCAAAAATGAGAGTTGCTTGAAGGTGTATCTATATGATATCACTAGGGGTAGGATCTAGTGTCTATAAGCCTCGCATGATGCCTAACTTTCAAACCACTGAGTTGGCATTTGAGTCCTGGGTACGATTCTTGGTGGAGTTGTTGATGGACATTACTAAGTTCCATGCTAGTATGAAACAACTGTCAAGTACGTGATGTAAACAATAGATTCCGAGATTACTAGTTATAGTCACATTGCTATATATATATATATATATATATATATATATATATATATATATATATATATATATGCTGACCCAGATATAGACAGACAAATGAATTATTAATTCACGTGCGATAGCATCCCGACGCTTTCATGTTTTGTGTGTGAACTCTTCCGGCCTATCAATATGTTGTTGATTAAATGCTACATGAGACTGGCTAGACCACCAGTGACATCTCTCTTCAACTTCAAAGACGAATGATGATGAATCGAGTTATCGAAGAACATTGAGTTTCAACGAATACGCATGCACAATACCTCCTTGTTGAAGGACAATATCGGATATGAAGTTTTAAATTTATTCAAACAATTAACTCAAAGTAGTAGTACAAAGTACGGTCATATAAACAAAAAGCTAACATACAATAAACTTGGAAGTTACATAACCATCAACGCTAATAAGTAAACATAATCTTTGGTTTTAGATAAATAAAACGTTACTCTATACAGGGCCATAAATATAACACCTTAATGTATAGATAAATCTTATAGAAAACTTAAAATTCATACCAGCTGTTTGATTTATAATATAATTTATTATTTAGCCATTTAAACACGTTATTATCGTCTTTAAGTATATAGCTTTATTGATGGGAACTTCAAACTGTCGAACAAGAAAATATGATTAAATTACCCGTTCGCAATAAATTTTCGGAGCTGTGAGAACATAAAACTGATTCCTTTCCTACTTATATCTTAAACATAAATATCATTATTAAAAATCATTTATTTTTACAAACACCTACCTACCTTAGATGTGATAGATTTTTCCATTGAATTAGATAGATTATTCTTACCAAATACAATTTTAAAATTTAATAATTCTTGCAACTGACCGATTCTAGCCTCTAAAAGTCGATTGTGATCGAGTAGAGTTGACAGACCGGATAAATAATCCGAAACATAATTTTCACGTTGTAAATCGTATTTAGGCAAACGCCATTCCCAATGTAAATAAAGATCACGCCATAAACTGTTGCAATGAAATGAATAAAAACAAGAATATATGTTTAAAAATCTAAGCCTACAAATTGATGGTGTAATTCGATTGCTTGATTTATGACGAAGCAAGTGTTTCGGCTGATCAGTGAGCTACTTTATGCTAAAAGTTAGCACACTAACAAAATTGATAATAATGTCTAGTTTGATAAGTAATCATAAATAAATTGGAATTGACACATCCATAAAATAGTTAATTGAAGGATATATATATATATATATATATATATATATATATATATATATATATATATATATATCTGTTGATTGATTGAGTAACGAAAGCATGATAATTCAGTAAGACTTTTTACTCTGAACGGAACAACTATATTATTTCATATAAATAGGACAGAAAGGTGAATATTTTCTAAGTGAAAGATTTCGCTAACTGACGCCAAGAAATAAGATGGTAAAATTCTCTAATTGCGCATAGACTAAAGCGAGTCAATGACATTAAACTACATGTAGAGATAGAATTTCCTACAAGTCATTCCATTATTTCAAGAAAAACACAATAAAATGATAAGTAAATAAATATATTTGTAATATCCTAATGAGTAGAGAATATTCTCTGAAGAAGTGGATTACACTAAGTCACAAAACGTCAGAAAATCAAGTTTTTCTACTCATTGGAATATTACAAATATATTAATTTATTTCTAACAATCTACCCGATGCTTAATTCATTCGAAATTATCAAGTCAAACCTTGGAAATGATACCTACAATAACATAATGTTTTTCAGCACATAAAAAATTCAATTAATTGAAATTACAAAATACAGATGATTAGTTAGTTAGTTGAAACGTAGGACCTGGTACGTATGTAATAGGTATCGAAAATACGATTCAAGAAGAAAATATGAATTAGTGAAATAAAAACAAAATTTGAGGGGAGACAAAGAATGGATGCATCTGCGCCATGCCATCCAAAGTCTCTACCACTGGTTATGATAATCATGTGGACCGTGAAAAACTGGTCTACCCCTGTTAACATGGTTCAGTTCGTTTGCCAATGACTTCAATGATTGATTCTACGTCTCGATTTGGGCACTCCTAGCTTTTACCCAAATCCTACACCAGACAACATCATCCGTCGAAATAGGCGGTAGTTGAACATATGTAGCACATGTCCCAACTATCTCAGTCGACGAAGATCTACTAACTTATCAACCAATTTACCATCCTTACCTAAAATCCTATTCCTAACCCGGACATTGTTTGCTAGGTAGTCCCAAAATACACGAGAATGATTCGGAAATATATGTAATCGAATACTAGTAATCTACGATTACCCTCACGTCTTTATGGCCATGAATCACATCAATAAGTTAGAACCGATCAAACTCATTTGATTGGTAGAGCGATATTTCACATACACCCCAAGTGATGCAATTTAGCAAAACTAATCGAGCCTTCTGAATTTGTGTCAAGATAACGTCTGTGGCTGAATGCCAGTTGAACTGTAACATAAAGTGTCCTGCCGATCAGCTCAATCTCCTGGATTAAGGGTGAATAACAGTCCCAGCATTATATGAGATTGTCTCACAAACAGCCGGATTTTTAATACCCGTTTCCTTGATAAGTCTGAATAGTTGTCTACGATTACTTATCGTCGCTGCTTTTTCAATTTCTTCTGCATTCGCCACCCACCACTGCTCACGATCATTACGTAAGCTTTTGATCAACCTACGCTTAATCGGCCTCTGCTTCTCATCGTGTTTGGAGTCAGATAGGATGAATTCCCGAGCATCTGTGAGCTCATTAGGCGCAGCAGAAATCCACTTTTTTTCATAACTTTTTGGTTAAAGTCACTAGTAAATATCACTACTGCTTCCACAGCTATTCGGACATCATACTAAGTTACCCCGGGGTGAATATCACCCGATCGAAGCTGCTACCTTGACGCGGTGGTCGGGCTTGCCTATCGTGATGACCCAACCGAGCTACATTGGCTGGAACATATGTTCCTGTAGGTTCTACCATGCCAGGCAGGTCGATTGGTGAACGGTAAGACTAAAAGCAGCAACTCAAGGTCTGAGGGCGAAGTCGTACTGCTGACTGTAGAGAGGTGTGACAGCAGTAAGGTGTTTCCCTCGGACAACCAGCATGACAGCGATGCTGCCTTCCCACAAGGAGGGGTGGGGTTAGAAAAGGTCGACCCTAAAAATGTCACACCTCACCTTAACTCACAGATTTCCGTCTCCGGCAGTAAGGCCCTTTGAAGAACGGAGCTAACACGTCAAAAAACCTTCCACAAAAGGCCGTTCGTGACCGGCCTCAAGCAGTTGTCCCTTGGGCTCTGCGGTCACGCTCCCAGGTCGTCAAGACCAACACTAATCCAATTTCCTTTTCAGGTTCCTCAAGAAATACCCTTCCACGGTGTGGGCAGCCGGGAAGTGACATCAGCCCTCATACTCGTAACAGCACACGAGACCAAGTTGGTCACATTCAAATCCTTCCTACACCTCCTAATACCTCTCTTATCTCCATGACTAACCCTCCTCACGTCTCTTTATCACCTCGAACCGCTAGGGCAAACAATTCGAGTACGTGGAACGCTATTCCTGGTCTCCTGAAACCACGCTCTAAACTACACTTAGGAGTTTTTAACGTACGAACACTTTGCCAAATAGGACAGTAGGCTTCCTTAGCTGGGACTTTAGAATCTCGCACCATCGATGTGTGCTGCGTCTCCGAAACGCGCATACAGGAACCAAGTAGCGTCATTCATTTGACCTCACCATGCCAAAATAAAGAACTGACTGACTGACTGAATATCACTGTCATGGTTTACTAGTTCCTTCTCTAGTTGTTCCTGAAATATATTTTTGACTTATTCATCGTTAAGTTGAACTCTAAGGGGTTTTCTTGGTATGGCTTTTCTAAGTCCAGGACGACGCAGACAAACACATGCCCGAAGTAGAGCACGATTCTAGTATAAACATGTACTCCAGAATGAGCGACAGTTTCCTATCGAGTTTTTTCAACGATGGCAATATGGTTTATTTGAGTCCATCGATGAGTCGATTGTGGAGGTCGCCGCGCCAGATGATGTTCTTCCTTATGCTTAAAGTTGGTGTTTGTCAGAAATAGACGGTTATCTGAACACAGTTGCAACAGACGGTCACCAATATCTGTTCGTTGAGCTGAGACACCGTAAAATCCGCTCACGTGCCTTTCAATTTGGCTTGGTTTACCTACTTGGGCACTAAAATCACCGGTAACCATTGCTATATCAGTGCGCCTAGCTCTTTGAAGGAGGTTGGATAGATTTCCTATAAAATTTATCTTTGACGTCGTCCGAGCTGCAATCGATGGGAGATAAGGCAAAAACAACGAAGAGGCAACGGCGTGCGCTCCTAAATTTCTGAGTTCTTACTGTCTTGAGTAGTCGAACAGCACACAAGCGACTGTCTAGTGAAATTCAGTCTAGGAGAGCCTGTTCCGCTTTTGAAATTAAGGCTATACCTGAACCAGTGAGCCCACTTGACGTAGACGTGTGGATTTCAGATACACAAAAAGTAAATCGTGCCAGTTCTTTACATTGACAAAGTAAGATCCGAGAATGAATGTACTTGGACCCCGTGTGTGTTTCGGAGACCCAGCATACATTGATGGCGTGAGGTTCTAGAATCTAAGCTAAAGAAATCTACTATCCTATCTGACACAAGGTTCGAAAATTAAAATCTCACACATGCAGTTTAGAGTATGGTTTCAAGATACCAGGGATAAGATTTCGTGAACTCAAATCATTAACATTGGTGGTGCGTGTTGATAGATATGTGAGTAGGGTTAGGAAAACAATTGACAGGTGAGGGGTGGATTTGATCATAAACAAGATCATCTCGAGCGCCCCCAAATGCACTGGTACGGTAGAGAATGGGGAAGGACCTCCCTCCCATTCTCCCTCTCACTGCCTTCTAACATCGTGGGAGCTGTTTATGAAATTGAGAGGACGGAAAGCGAATGTCCGGCGTTTTAACCAGGTTAGTGGATATGGAGGATCCACCTGTTGGGTTATAATTCAGATAACGCATATCCATTTGATAACATTCATTTTTATGTTTTTATATACTATGCCACATAGATAATCCATTTTATTCCCACTATGTCTATCCTTACTTTTCGACTTAGACAGCAGCTCGTCTATAGTGGAAATTCGACTCTATCTAAACGTTCTCGAGTCACTGCCTGGTTGAAAATTGAATGCTACCACCAAATACGAATACTAAAACAGCTTTTCTGAAACCACGTGCATCATTCAAACTGGCTGCCTTCAACGTTCGCACACTTATGTAGGTCGGACAACAAATAGGGCTGACTATGTCTTTAGAAAGTCTTAACATTGATGATTGCTGTCTATCCGAGACCCGTATTCAAGACTCTGGTGAAGTACTACAAATTCGCTCTTCATCTGTCGCTTCGAAAAGCTTGTTTTACGTGCGTTTATCCGGAGACCCTGTGGCATCTTCGTCTGGTCTTGCTGGCGTTGGTGTCGCACTAAACGCTAGTGCTGAGGTAGCACTAATAGATTGGACCCCCATTAGCAGTCGGTTATGTGCTGTTAGAATAGGAAGTTCCATCAAAGTGAGAAGAAATCGGCGGGAGAAACGATGTTTTCTCGTCATCTCCACGTATGCCTCGACAAATTGCAGCCCGGATGCAATCAACGATGAATTCCACCACCAATTATCTGTTCTTCTGCAGAAAGTGCGTTCGACAGACATTGTAGTACTAGCCGGAGACTTGAATGCTCAGGTCGGGCGTCTAGGCACAGAATAGAGTCGTTTAGGTAGCCGATGGGGACTTCTTGGTCGCAGGACAGATAACGGGGACTGTCTACTGCAACTGTGCACAGTCCCGCCTATAAGCACTGGGTTTCTTCAGGCTCCTTACAACTCATCGAAGCCCATCGGTCTACACCAGGTGACCGGGAGTCTGATCACAAACGGTGATCGTCTACTGCAATTGTGCATAGACCACAACATATTTCTGGCTAGCACTAACTTCCGGCACAGTCATCGCCGATGTGCCACATGGCGTCCTTACTCTGCATCTCTAGCCTGGACTCAGATTGATCACATTGCGATCAGCTACCGCTGACGTGGTTGTGTACAAGACTGCCACTCCTTTTGGAGTACCTATCTAGACTCTGACCATGCCTTGGTCTGCGCCAACCTTAGCTTACTTTTCAGTGGCCAACGAAGTGACCACCACCAACGGATTGATGTCAGCAAGTTGGTTGCAACTCCTGTTGCTAGTAAGTATCGAACCGAGCTAGCTTCTAGGCTGGCTACCACTCCACGGAAAAGTGTAGATGAGCATTGGTTGCGACTTCATGACGCCATGAAAATGGCGAGTAAAGTCGCATGCGGTTTCGCAAAAGGTCTCGCTTATAAGCACGGAGTTTCTTCAGGCTCCTTACAGCTCATTCAAGCCCGTCAGTCTACTCCAGGTGGCCGTGAGTTTGACCACAAATGGCGGTGTGGATCTGTTGCCTGGAGAAAGAATTAATGACCTTCAGTACGCGAATGATATTGCCTTATTGTGCGATAATGCCCAAGTCATACAATCCTCACTTAATCAGTTGGCAATCAGTGTCCGTAGGTATGGTATGTGCTTTGCACCTCCGAAGTGCAAAGTACTTCTACAAGACTGGCAGGATTCTAATCCTGCACTCACCCTGGATGGTGAGCAGATAGAAGTAGTCGAGAAGTTCGTGTATATAGGTAGTTGCATAAGTGCTGGTGGGGGTGTGAGTGATGAGATCAATGCACGTATAGTGAAAGCCAGAGCGGCTTATGCCGATCCGGGCCATCTTTGGCGCCTTCGTGATGTTAGTCTGGTTGTAAAAGGTCCGATCTACAACGCGTCGGTGAGAGCAGTTCTGCTCTATGCTTGTGAAACCTGGCCTCTCCGAGTTGAGGATGTTAGACGACTCTCTGTGTTTGATCATCGTTGTCTCCGAAGAATTGCTGGCATCCAGTAGCAACACCATGTTAGTAATGCAGAGGTCCGGTATCGTGTGTTCAGGCACAGAAATGATAATGCAATCGATGTCACCATCTTGAAACACCGACTTCGGTGGCTTGGACATGTTCTACGAATGTCGTCCCAGAGAATTCCACGTCGTGCATTATTTGCCGACTCTGGGACTGGTTAGAAAAATCGGAGAGGTGGGCAGTGTATGACATGGTGTCGTGGTATGAAAGAAACCTGCAAAGGGCTGGCTTGTGTTGGTCCTTCACGACTCCCTGATTGGGGTCTGAGAGATTGTGCTACACAGTGGCTAGAGACGTTATCAGATATGGCTCAGAATAGAAGCCAGTGGCGATACTGCTGTAATCTTCTTTTACTTTCTTCATAAGAAGTGGTTGTAACTTCCTTAACTGAAAAACTTCTTCTGGTTGTACCTTTCCGTTTCCCACACTATTATTATTATTATTATTATTATTATTATTATTATTATTATTATTATTATTATTATTATTATTATTTCACTACCATACACTAATCTGTAGTCGTTATTGTTCCTTTTTTCTGATACGCACCTTACATTCTTTTTCTCGTCCCATTCTCATTGTTTTGTGTGGCGCATATATATCTGGTGCCCCCTTCTATCAATATTTATGTGTTCAAATAATTAATTAGAAATAAATGATCTCAGGTGCCAATAGAGGTATGAAGGCGGTTGTCACTTTCGGGCTGCCGATACCGCAGAAGGATTTTTGCCTTAAGGGACCTGAAAATAAAGCTGAATTAGTTGTATTTTCATCGACCTGGTAGCGTGAACGCAGAGCCCAAACGATAACTTCTTGAGGCCGGTCACGCACGACCTTTTTGATGATTTAGCTTCGCACTTCAAAAGAACTTAACTTTGGAGAAAGAAATCCACATGGTAAGGTGTGACATTTTTAAGGTCGAGGTTTTCTAGCCTCTGCTTTCCGTTGTGAGAAGGCAGTATCGCTGCAGATGCTGGTTGTACGGGATGAGATATAGACTGCTGATATGCCTAATTTTTTTGGAATATATATATATATATATACCTGAGCGACAACTGTGTTTTAAACCATCCGTTATATCAGTAGCCGTGCTTGATATAGAAAATGTGTATCAGTATCAACTGTCGGACAGCGCACGATACAACAGCATGCTCATTGTTATTGCTATTGTTATTATATTTATTATTGAAACTTTCTTTGATTTTGATCTCATTCATTTCATTTCTATCTCTCACACACGAAATCAACTTAGAAGGAACGTATACATTGAACAATTGTCAGAAGCTTTTCCAGCTTATACGAGCTGCTGTCAGTGAGAAATCTGGTGTCAGTTAAACACACTATGGGATTACATGCAAATGCCAGCTAACAGTAGACTTCAAAGTAGACTTCACAGAGCATTCTGGAAGAAATTTATTGGTTGGTTAGTTGCTTTAACACAACTTCGGTCAAAGAAATTATTTTGCTTACATTATCACTTAGAATGAAAAAAAACCACAAAATATCTTGGCTGCTAATAGGAATGAATAAACAGCTTGTTACCTACCGAAATAAAGGTGCACATAGAATATATACAGGTAGTATATCCGCTGCATATCGACTATTCCCTTTACCATCACTAATCAACTCAATTCCAACAGTAATTAATTCATCGGTTTCAAAATGAGATGATATATTGTATTTGTAGTTACCCCTGCCACCCCCGTCAATAGAAAAATCGATCCATACAGAATTATGTTCATAGAATGGATTAATCCATCTGTCACGATATCGATTTAAATAACCCCATAAAGAGTAAGTGTTTTGTTGAACTCTACAATAAAAAAATATTATAACCTACGTCGATAATCCAGAGAGAAAAAACAAACATTTAACTGAACTGAACTTTGTGAATACAGACAACTCATATTTAACTGTTTGATCAAGAATCAGATATCAATTGACACAATTACGTTGACACGAAGTACAGTGGTGGGAGCTGAGGTCATCTACAACCTAGTAGAAGCTTCCACAGATAATACGAGATAGTCAAGTTAAAATATGTAACAAAAGCTGCAAAACTGAGGTGATTCGAGTAGATTCTCACTTCTACTTGGTTGACACCCGTGTGACAATCAGATTCAATAGTTGAAGACGCTTGGTGGTAAGGTCTGAAATTGGTTACAGTAATGCAAATCTATTAAGTCTATGTTTTAAACTGGATATCGAGAGTTACTACTGTGGAGTATGCTATTCATGTCAACAGACATAAGTAGTATGCAACACCAATCACAAGTGGAATGCCTGGAAACAGAAGGTTGAGAAGATCGAATTGAAGAGAACAGAAAGGGATTGTAATAACAAATAGAATGAAGGAACGACGATGTTTGTAAGAGACAATTGATGGAAGATGTGCAAACTGTGTATTTAATATATGGTTTTCATATTTTAGGAAGACATTCTGTAATATAGAAATAAACAGTAAATTGGTATTACCCACCTGACTTCTCGTTCACTACACTATTACTCCATACTTACAACTAAATGATAACTGAGTAGTGACCAACGTCAAATCCTTTTTAGTGTTAATCGAATTCCATTGATCAGAATTGTAAATGCATCCCAGTCCTACAGTTCAGTCACGACCCGAGTTCAGTGGTAACGTCGTTGACTATGAAGCTAGAAGTGACAGGATAGAATTCCCCAACCAGCAACGTTCCCCTTGAAATTACAGGTACACCATTACGACGAGTGTCGAATAGAACGAAACCTAGGTCAAACGGATTTTGTCGACTATTTCCAACCACCAACCTACATTTCAGAATTTTTTACCCCATGAATGCATTCATTCTTTCTAAACTATATTTTTTATAACAACTGGTCTTTTTCACAACCATAGACAGTATCACTAATAATACGACTAGTTTATCAAGTGTTTAGTCCATTTATATCTCTTTACGCTGATGCAACTATGCCAAATTGAACGGAGGCATACATCAGTGTCAGATGCTAGATAGACCATGGCGACTTAATAATAAACAACTTATGAGTGGTAGTCGCTGCGTTAGACACCCAGTAATTAGGTCGCAGCTTTGGGCTCTCATCTCATCCTGCTCCAGTTTAGACTACCGGATGATAGTAGGATCATCAGCACCAGACACTTGTAGTGTGGCTTGAAGTTAAGTACAAAAATCTGTACATGGTAAATGAGTTTTAAAAATCGGAGACAAAACAACTAACTTTAAATTGACTCTTTCTTTTTCACTACATCCAATAAATGTTCCATAAACGGCTGAATAAATTTGATCATGTAAATACTTTAGTAATTTAATATTATATTCAAATTTAGTTGGGCAGATTTCTAGCAAATGTCGTAAGCAATCAAGAAATTGTGTAAATATTGGGGAGATTTCACGGGGATCAGCACCTGACACTAAACCACATCGTTCAGTGAATTTGTAACCGAATTGTATCCAGTCTTTTTCGATTAAAGCCTAACAAAATAAAGTTATATGATATATATATATATATATATATATATATTAACCTACTTACGCCTGTTACTCCTAATGGAGCATAGACCGCCGACCAGCATTCTCCAACCCACCCTGTCCTGGGCCTCCCTTTCTAATTCCATCCAATTCTTGTTCATTTTTCTCATGTCTATCTCTATTTCCCGGCGTAATGTGTTCTTTGGTCTTCCTCTTCTCATTTAGCCTTGAGGATTCCATATGAGGGCTTGCCTTGTGATACAGTTGGGTGATTTCCTCATTGTGTCCTATCCACTTCCAGCGCTTCTTCCTGATTTCGTCCTCTGTTGAGATCTGGTTATTTCTCTCCTACAGTAGATTGTTGTCGATAGTGTCTGGCCAATGGATCCGAAGTATTTTGCGTAGACAGCTATTAATAAATACTTGTATCTTCTGGATGATGGCCTTTGTAGTTCTCCAAGTTTCCGCCCCATACAGTAGAACTGTCTTGATAGTTGTATTGAAAATTCTGACTTTGGTGTTGGTTGACAGTTGTTTTAACTTCCAGATGTTCTTCAGTCGTAAATATGCTGTTCTTGCTTTTCCGATCCTCACCTTCACATCTGCATCAGATCCACCGTGTTCATCAATGATGCTGCCCGGATATGTAAAGGTTTTTACATCTTCCAAATCTTCTCTGTCAAGTGTGATTCGATTGTTGCATGCTGTGTTGTATTGGAGAATCTTGCATTTCCCTTTGTGTATGTTGAGACCTGCTGCTGCTACACTGGTTGGCTTCTTTTGTATTTGTTGTTGCGTGTGCGATAGAAAAGCCAGATCATCTGCGAAGTCTAGGTCGCCAGCTGTTCACTGTATCCAATGCCTTCCCCTAGATGTTGACGTCTTCATAATTCAGTCGACCACTAGGAGAAAAGGAAAGGGTGATAGTAAGCAACATTACCTGACATCAGTCTTTACTTCGAACGAGTCTGTGAGCTGTTTCTTTAATTAATGGTGGGCCAGAATTGATTGGGAGGTCCGTGGATGCTGCTTCGATGTTCTACCCACCTGTCGCGCTGTTCTTCGATGTTGGTGGTCACTTTGCCCTCCTCGCTTTTCACTGGTCGTTCTGGTTTGTCAGTATCCCGAAGAAAGGCCGTATTAAACTTCTCTGATGTTGTCCGCTCCATTCTTGAGTTTCAATTTCATCTTGGCGACCAGCAAGTGATGATCTGATGCTATATTAGCTCCTTTCTTGGTTCTCACATCCTCCATTGTCCTCCTGAACTTTTTTGATGAAGATATGGTCGATTTGGTTCTGTGTAGTGTGATCCGGTGAAGTTCATGTGGTTTCGTGTATGCGTTTGTGTGGGAATATGGTGCTGCCTATAACCAGTTTATTGAAGGCACATAGGTTTGCAAATCTCTCACCATTTACGTTCCTTTCTCCCGATCCATGTCGTCCCATGATCTCTTCATATATATATATATATATATATATATATATATATATATATATATATATATATATATATATATATATATATATATATATATATATATATATGCATATATATATGCATATATATATGCATATATATATGCATATATATATTTATAAAGTGAAAATCACAGAACATTGATAAATTGTCATCAGCCTTATTTAGGACTGTACAAGTATGCATCAATAGTCATAGAAACTGTTGAAATTTTCGTTGCAAATACAGCACGACGATGGATGCCACCTTGACACGATGACCGAGCTTGCATGTGATGATCCAACAGAGTAATGTTGGCTAGGACACTTATTCCCTGAGGACCTGACCATGACAGGAAAATTTGTTTGGGGGGTGAAACTAAAAACAGCAGCCTTGAGATCCACAAAGAAGTCTTACTGCCAACCGTACTGGGGTGCGACAGTATTTTCGATCAAGAAACGGTTAAGGTTGAGTTTTATTTTGCTTGACTGTTCCTGGTTTCCTATGCCATTCAGTGCAAGATGTTGGGGTAGGTACTATGGTTAGAACGTGCGTTACATATGCTAACCAATTGACCAATCTATGAAAATCTAGTCCCGTCGAGTGGTTACTCATAGTCTCCTAGAACCTCGCCCTACCTTACCTACAACTCCGGATGTGACTCAACTAGCAACTTCAATACACTTAAGAGATTATATATATATATATATATATATATATATATATATATATATATATATATATATATATATATATATATATATACGCTAGAAACTTACGTATATTAAGAAAGCTTGGTATAATTATTATTACTTTCAGTTTGATAATTTGCTATATAATGTACGTCATTACCTCTTAAATACACCACTATAAAATTAACTGAGACAGCAAACGAATACTTCAAACAAAGAAACTTTACTCATCAATAAACATACTGAACATGAAAATTAACATGTTTCACGTTGCTGATGGTTCTGATGAGTTACATGATATAGGACAGTTTTTTTGGTGTCTTATGGATTTAACTCCCTTCTTGATATTTAAGTTATTTGTACAATACAGGTCAAACAATCTCTACGTATTTACATATCCATTTGTTTTTAACTCACTTGCAACCCTAGAAATGTTCTATAATATGGATCTAATATAATTTGAGCTAGGGCACAAACTTGAGCAGTACGATCCCATCCATCGGAACAATGTACAAGTACAGAATTTCCTTCATCTAATCGTTTTGCGACAAAATAAGCTGCTTCTAATATAGCATGTAAATGTTTCAACCAACCAGATTTATTTAAACCAGAAGTAAATTGTTCCACATTAACTGTTGGATTACAACATACTATATTGAAAAGAAATATAAGAAATGAAAGTGCTAAGTGCAAAATCCTACATTAAATACCTCATTTGCATATCATTCTTCAGTTATCCTTACACACTCCATCATTCTTCTAATGATATTGTTATCGTGATTGATCTCTGTTTTCCCTCCTTTTCTCTTTATTTCAATCTTCTGCTGGTTAACATTCTACTTCCAATTCCGGCTAAATACTACTTATATTTGTCCGCATAAGTAGCGCACACTACACGTGTACCAGCCAAAAACAACCAATTAAAAGGGTAGGGAAACATATATGACACCTCAATTACTTATCAGACTATCTACCAGTTTATCTAGGAAACCCACCGATCAATGTTTCCTTTCATCCATACAACAATAAGAATACTAGCTTTATTCGGTACCACATGTTTGGCTTACGCAGAATTTTTAGCACAAAATCGCAACAAATTTCTTGTTTTTTTTAAAAAGATCAGTTGGATTGCAAATAATAGGAAAAAGCAGCATTCCTCAACGCCTGATAAAAACGGTTTTTCTGAGTTGAAGATGTTAAACAACTCTCTATGTTAGATCATTGTTGTTTGCGAAAACCTAATATTATGTGGCAACACTGTTAGTAATACTGAGGTTTGATAGTGTATTCAGGCACAGTGACAACAACTCAAGTGATGTCTCTATCTTGAAACATTGACTTCGGTGGCCTGGATGTAATACGAGTGGCATCTAAGCGACTTTCACATCGTCCGACACTTGCCAACGATAGGACGGTATAGAAAATGTAGAGAAGTGGTCACTTTATGACATGTCACCGTGGTGCCAATAGATGCTCTACAGAACCGGATTCCGTCGACTTATCATGACTACCTGGTTTGGGTCCGATAAATGGTGCAACTCGAAGGCTTAAGGCGTTATTAAACATGGCTTAGAACGGAAACTAATGGCAATCATGAAGCACTTTTCTTTTATACTCAAATGTGAGCACCACTACTCTAACTGAATTGTCTCGTTTTTATTGTTAACCAAACTGCTTCACCTATTATACTGTTAGTGTTAACAATTTTCTTTTTCATTGTCTTCAAATGTACTCTTTTTCCTCTACAATATTATTCATACATTGTGCGGTGCATGCTATTTTTTGATGCCCTGTTGTACCAGCTTATTTATACGTGCTTATATAAATTATTAAATATTAAAACTCTTGAGACCTGTGGGCAACTTCTTGGTGCATGAGAGATTTGGAGAGAACGTTCATTTTGAATGCAGTTATTTATACAATAAAAATTGACTTCCTCTAAACAATCAACCAAAACTTTGGAGTGGTAGACAATCGCTTTGTTGTATTATATTTTTAAAATCTCAACCTCTCATTATCGCGCCAAAAGCACCTATTTTCACCTTCAGGTTGTATTTCCCACTTGGAAGGGTCTTAAATGTAATTGGCTCGTTTCCTCTTTCAATACGTTATTTTGTGACGCTTCCCAAGGACATTTTTATGTTGTATATATACGTTTGACTTGTGTGCCTGTTTGTTCGCGCTTTTAACTGCTTGTGCAATATACTTCTACATCGGCTGAATCTCTTTTCCCTCTAGATAGCAGGGCTGGGGTGCAGTAAATAGTTAGCTTGTCTTGGTATCGTGTTGCTGGCTTTCGTTTCGTTCGTCGGTTTAGGTGAGTCTCAATCCCTTCAAACGTAGCCCCAATAGACAATTATGTGGAAGAAATCGAGTCAAAGATTACGTAATAGTTTCAAGTATACTTACATTCAGTTGGTTTTCATATTGATTCAGTGTAATTTCTGCATAATAAAATATTTACTTTAATTAATTGATCCTATATGATTTTACGTTCATATACATTAACACAAATGAATTTCGTGTGAAGATCGTGTGATATAAAAAAACTTTTATATTAAAATTAGAGACTAAACCTGGATATAAATGAATGCATTTGAATGATTAATCTCTTTTGATCTCTGTCAAAAAACTTTGAATACCGTTTCTAGTAAGTGGACAGAGAGGAAAAGGACAGGAAGCAGTCTTGTTTATTGCCACTGAAGCTAGAGTTATGAATTGGTTGCTCAGACCACAAACGTTTCAATCTCCTGGTTCATTGTATCGCCAAAATACATGTGTCGTTCTCTTTGATATTAAGTCAGTTTATGTATGACGGTTAGAGAGTGGTGCTTTACACGCCTGCTCAAAGAGGGATTCGAACATTGGAATAATGTCGATGTTATTCGTGAGTATGTATTATATTAATCGAGTTTTAGTTCAGTGGATGATATAACTCAACGGATTTTAATAAAATGATCGAAAAGAATGGGCGCTGATAATTCACCAACAACCGACAACAAGCATAGCTGCTACCTGCATCCCGCCCATCACCATCAGAACCATAAATCTCACTGGTTCGTGAAGGATCAGAAGACCAAGGTCATCCCTGTGACTACGAAGAATTAATCATTATTTGGGAAAAATATTACCATTCACGTGCAGTGTTAATCACTCATAAATCACATTGAAAATTTTACTAAATAGTTTGTACTGATTAATTTAACGGAATGGATTGTTTAGTAAGGTTTGTTTTGACTACGCAGCAGCATGAATCAAAATCTGTAGTGCGAAAAATGTCCACTTCATTAACCAACGACCTTAAATGATGATTACTACTTCGGCTACTTTCCATTATCATCAATGGGCTTCCAGCTACTACTACGTTTAAGTAAAATTGAATAATCGGACACTTTCATCACTCAAAATGGAACGAATCTGGATATCAAAATTAAGTTTTCGAAATTTTGTTTAATTACTGAGTTAAGCTGTCAGCTGAAATTATTCCAATTACTTATACTTATGTTGTAGTGATCTCATGAAAGAAAAAACATGTAATACCGGTGAATGAGGTTCAGAATAGTTGGCTTTGTTTTTGCTTTAAAATGTCTTAACCTTACGTTTGAAAAAATAAAGATGGCAACAAGGATTTTCATGTAAAGTTTGATAACTTGAACAAGAATTGAGCCTGATAATTAAGTCTTCACTCTATTTGCACTTGAGTGACCGATAAAGCATTCATTTTATCCAATCACTCATGTTCTGACTAACTTGTAATGATGTAGCTTATATATATATATATATATATATATTCTGTGATGAGTAAATGTCTTGTCTTCAATTCGATCTTGTGAACAGTTATCACTCAGCCCTATGGTACCATTGGATATCGTCGTTCATAAAAAAGCACTTTTTCAATCATTTTATTTACCTAAAGACCGTTTCACCATTAGAAATTGTAAAATTGTTATGCTAAGTGGTGTCGGATTCTGAAACTGATACGAAAGCTTCCCATACACGAGCTCGATCGGTTAGTCGGGGGAGAAGGAAGTCATTATTAACTAACCAGATCAAGAAATAACTGAACACCCATATATATAGCCAACACAATCTTTTTTGAAAACATGAATACAATTAATACGAAAAACGCAAAATAGTACAGTCAATTACAAAAGGAACAATAAATACAAGCCTACCGAAACTCTTCTTTGACTAAAGTTTAATACTATCACTAATATGCATCCTTCATTAAGGTGTATCTGCAAACTTGGAAGAATGCAGCTTTGCATCACGTGACTTTTTGGTGAGATTGGAACAGCACGAAGGGGATAACTTATAGTTATCTAACATTATGACACAACACAGGAAATATCGGCGGTGACCACAGCAACAGTTTATAGCCTAATATGATGACATATGTCAATAGTGAAACAAATGTTATTAAATCATACAAAAACACAACATACAAGACAAGTGTTTAACAGTACACATACCTTTTAGTAATTTTTCTAACGATGAACGAACAACATGGATATTTTCAATATCAAAAAATTGTATGACAGCATTACGATAAACATTTGTATCTTCATAACCTTTGCCTTGTGCACGATTAGTAAATGCATTAATTGCTGGTCGCGTATCAACAACATATAATATATTCGAATCGGGATTTGAATTACGTATAGCTTCTAAAAGTACTTGGTCTTCGGTTGATTTTGATGAAAAACCTGCTAACGGTTGACTACTTCGACACAAAGCTGACTAAATACGGTTGTATACATTCACATGAAAAAAAGTGAAAACTGAACGATCAGACTGTTGAATATAGCTTGATGGAACGGCGAACTGATTGATTAAAGTAACTTACTTGATTTTTAACTCGTATATGCAAAGTTCGAAATCCGTCCAATATACTTTGGTTTAGATAACCGGGTATTATTGCTCGGCCTAAACAAAACTAAAGTATGACTCAAAGCTGTGTACATCTGTTAATCAATTGAGTGTATTTTATAATTACGGGGATTTAGATTTTTATAAAGAAATTTTATGCTTTTGGTTGATAGGGTAGAATTTATTGTACGTTCAGTTTTATTTATTGTCCCATATAAGTATATTAATGTAAGTATATGATAAGGAGATGGTGAATCATTCATAAAATGTAGATTCAGGGCTAGAGGCATTTTCGCACTGAATGGGTTGGTTTTTGGTATATGGCTAGATTTCGACTACCATTAGAATTCTTTTTAACTAGACAGTTTAAGAATAGTAGTTCACTATGTTCATCTTCCTTTTCGAAAATGAATTTGATATATCCTGAGAACGTGTTCATGTATTTGGGAAAATTTTTGAGAATCTTTTTGATAATGACAAATGTGTCATCTACATATCTGAACCCAATGCGTTCTACATAAGTTTTTCCGTGAGATCTCAACTCGTGTCAAGGAACATTTAAGTTACACAAAAAGACTTTCTAATAATCATGTAAAATTTAAAAGTTTACAAATTAAATCAGTAATAGCAGTACATGGTATTTTCAACAATCACCGAACTGATATTAAAAATACCAAAATAATTCGGAGAGGCTTTTCAACTATAAGGTGAGGCGAGCAGCCGAAGCGTTTCACATAATGCTAAATCCCTCTGCCCTCAATAGGAAAGAAGGCTCGAAGATTCATCCAACCTGGACTGTTTATCTAAACAAACATATTTGACCCTATTTAATTTCCACACAATTTGAACCCCACTACTTCATATTACAAGTGCATACATTTTTCGTACTCACATTCTGAGGCACAAATTAATATAGTGACAGACCATACAAATTCACCTTGCCCACAAATTACTTGAGGTTGATATATTTCGTTGATCCGACAACGGAGGTTCACATACACGAAATCGAATCAGTGTAGAGCTATTTAAAAAACTATTTACGTCCATATAAATGGTCACAAGTAAGACTGCTATGGAGCCATAAGATTTATAAAAAAAATCGTTCAGTTGAGTAGTTTTTGGTTATTGCTATCGTCAAGTATTTAAATTATCTGGAAAAATTTTAAAAACAGGGGGACATTGGAAACTTTTACCGTCTTAATTAAAGAACCTCTAAAAAAGTAGTGGCACCAGAAGCAACGTGTACACCTACAACAACAACTACGATACACTATAAGACTTGAAACTTTGAAGAACCGCCTCTCGGTTGGGAAAAAAGATGTACTTAACTCAAATTTAAGGACGGAATAGTTCCACCATCAAAAATTCTATTGCACTATTTGGACTGATCATTTTTAACAAGTTAGCATCCACTATCTTGAACAGCTTAAATGAATGGCTTTAAAATATCTGATTTTATCGGATAATAAGCTTTAACGAACTATTTTTGGTTTACACCAAGTACTTTGTACAATAATTAGTGGTTATATGTAGGCTTACATAACTCTACAGGTTATCAATGAATACATGACCCGACACTAGACATAAATTCTCATGACAGAAGAGGAGGGAATGACTGTGACGAACAAAAAACATTGTTTAAAACAAAAAGAAGGAAGCACACAAACAAACAAGACTAACTAACCTTCCCATTTGGATGTAAGTAAGTTAAGACGGGGAATCGGCCACGACTGCGAAAACGTGAACTTCCATACAAAATATTCTTTGATACCATACTTGGAACATATAATACGGGTGGATAAGTATCACATATCTGTATTGGTATATCGGAACGAAGATTGGAGAAATGATAACTTACAGAAATATTTTATGGATTACAGTTATAGTATAATTGCTAACTAACTAGATCACTATGTATATGTATTCCGTTTATCATAAGCTTTCGGTTACCCTATAAACTACTGTTATATGAGCTACTACTCCTTATTTGTTGCCAATCTATTACTTACACCTACTTTTGGCTTGTTTATGTACCATTGTTGTTTTTCACTTTAAGGTGTGGTACTGTCCAGTGTGTTTGTATATAAACCACTCCTGTTTGAAAAATATAGAAGCTAGTTGCTGACTTTTGGACTCAACGCAGGGCATAGAGAAAAGCTTGCGAATAACGGACTGACAGAAACAGCTGCTTCGGTTGGAGGCCAAGTCAGTGACGATGAACTGTAGAGGAAACGGCTACTGTCACCTTAAGTCTGCAGGGTGATAGACATCATATAGAGAACCACTTAAACCAGTAGGTTGCAGAGTTTAAACACCAATCCACCTGAGTTTAAGGCACCTGAATAGTAGTACAGTAGTCTTTTACAAAATGTAACTCAAACACGTACAGAAAATTGTACCTGGTAAACAAGTAACACTTAAGATACCGATTATAGATTATGATAATTTTGTCGAACCCAAACAGGACAATGTAAGGTAGATCTTAAATATTTAAATGCTCAGAATAGTAGTCCATATTATATAATATTTTAGTACTAGGCAAAGGCGTTGTTGTGTTAAACAAAAATTTAGGATTTGAAAATAAAATATTTATCAGCTTACGGGTTAGATAACAAATGTTGATCAATAGTCTAATCAAATTTTTATTTATTTTATTTTATTTGGACACATGAATATTGGTACAAGAGAGCGCCAATATATATGCGCCACACAGAACAATGAATATTCGAAGAGGAATACAAAGAAAGAAAAAAAAGAAGCTAAGGAGCACAAAAAAGAGAGAACAATAACGAAGAGATTGGTGTAAGGTAATGTGCTAGTAATCAGGGAACGGAAAGGTACAATCGGAAGAAATCTTTCAGGTAAGGGAGACACAACCACTTCTTATGAAGAAAGTAAAAGAAGGTTACAGCAGGATCGCCACTGGCTTCTATTCTGAGCCATATCTGATAACGTCTATAGCCACTGTGTAGCACAATCTCTCAGACCCCAATCAGGGAGTCGTGAAGGACCAACACAAGCCAGCCCTTTGCAGGTTTCTTTCATACCACGACACCATGTCATACACTGCCCACCTCTCCGATTTTTCTAACCAGTCCCAGAGTCGGCAAATAATGCACGACGTGGAATTCTCTGGGACGACATTCGTAGAACATGTCCAAGCCACCGAAGTCGGTGTTTCAAGATGGTGACATCGATTGCATTATCATTTCTGTGCCTGAACACACGATACCGGACCTCTGCATTACTAACATGGTGTTGCTACTGGATGCCAGCAATTCTTCGGAGACAACGATGATCAAACACAGAGAGTCGTCTAACATCCTCAACTCGGAGAGGCCAGGTTTCACAAGCATAGAGCAGAACTGCTCTCACCGACGCGTTGTAGATCCGACCTTTTACAGCCAGACTAACATCACGAAGGCGCCAAAGATGGCCCGGATTGGCATAAGCCGCTCTGGCTTTCACTATACGTGCATTGATCTCATCACTCACACCCCCACCAGCACTTATGCAACTACCCAGATACACGAACTTCTCGACTACGTCTATATGCTCACCATCCAGGGTGAGTACAGGATTGGAATCCTGCCAGTCTTGTAGAAGTACTTTGCAGGTCTAATCAAAAAACAATCGGAGTTTCTTTATTCGGTTGAATATTATATTCCTTTACTTTATTCAGCCTGATCCCAAGCATCATATGTATTTTGGTAACTTTACATACAAGGCAAAGTAACAAGTTGACAGTTCAATCTGTTTTATAACGGACTAATTATATTATGTGTAATCGTTTAAAACTATATAAACAAAGATGGGATCCAAATTCATGAACTGAAAGTTGATGGTTAATTGACTCAATCGTTATGCTGTAAATCAATAATAGTATTGTTTTCATTCCGACATCATCTCTCTCCACACAAACACACATGTGCGGAATAGATGTGATTTTCTATTCAGAGGGTAGTTGAGCGATTTTACTGGACAGAACGTATGAAATATTCGATTACAGAATCTATTCCAAATACTTTTCTGATTGATATAATGAGGAATAACTAAGCATGAGATTTATGCCCTGATTTCATTGACTCATGAATAACTTTGTATCCTACATCTGCAGTACAGAAAATTCGTAATCTCGTTTATTTTCGTTAGAATGATTTAAGATGATCAATGATTTTAATGCATGAGAGTTAATGACGCGGTACAATGTCAGTAGTGAAATAGATTTGAGAATTGTATTAAATCAGTAACAACAAATAATAAGAATTTCCTATAGCTAAATTCACTTCACGTGACCAAATTTTAGACTTTGTGGTTGGCTTGTATTTTGTACTTTTTTCATGTATTTAGTATGACTCACAATCATCACTTATTGTTTCATCACAAGTTTGGTTACTAAGATAACTCAGAATAATAATCCTGATAATTGTAAAACAGCAATTTTGGTTGTGAATACAGTTTCATTTCCTATGTTAACCCTAAATTTTATACAACTAACCTCAAAATTTTCGTTAACATTAGTTAGACTCCAAAAATAATTAGGTAATCCAAATCGATCATACTGAGACTTAAGTGAAAATGTTGACCAGCCTTCTTCTTGAGACCAATAACAATCCGGCGGTACAAATTGATAACACGGGAGTGCAGACACATGTGCTACATAAAATCCATTCCAAGAAACGAAAGAGATAAAAAGAATTATAAGAACTGAACAAGTTCATATTTATAAAACAGTGCACAAAGAATAAACAAACGATCGCGAGAAATGAAGGTTTTGGATTGGATCTTGTACGTGGAGTCATCGTCAGTGAACCCAGTTGCCATGAATTCTCAAAACTAGAGTGAAACAGCCGTTTAACGAAAACCACTTATCACATATCTACTCTACTTACATTTTAATGCATACTCAGTTGCTGGGTACAGATTTGTGTACTTGGCTTCAAGTCACAGTCTAAATATATAAAGGCTAGTGATGTTACTCAGTTGCGAAAAGCTGAAGTAGGTAGGCTAGCGTTTGAACGCGCAACTTAGCAGCAGTCAAATGTTCTAATAATTGAGCCAACACCCTAATTTCGAATATTTAACAGAAAACTACGTAAAACCACTTGGTTTAAATAGTTGCTTCTATAAAAATCTTCCGCATTATTGTCCCACACACTGCAGAAGCTAAAGCGCAAAAAAATGAGTACGAAAAAATTATCGTTGATACTCACATACATTCCATAGAACGAATAAAACAAATCAATGTCTAAATGGTCTTCTCTTCTGAAACATAAAGCTAGATTGCTTTGTGAACACATAAAAAAGGCGTTAAGTAAATACTGCCTGTACATTCAACTCATTTCACAATGAACATTGATTTCGCATACATCCTAATGACCTGTGGGACCTCATTCTGAAAACAAATCCTACGCAATTGAAAGTAATTGAGATTTTACAACTGTATCATTTAAGAAAACGAAAATCATGAGTTATATAATGAGAAGTTAAAAAAGAAAATACCAAACTATACTAATAACTGTCATCTTATTTTAGGTAGACTGACTAATAGAAATTTCACAAGATGTGGGAACGTACATATTGTTATTAACCCTAGAAGTATTATTACTATCATTTCAACACATAAACAAAGGTACGAGAAGGCACCAAATAGCTATGCGCCACACAAATCATTCGATTTGTGTGAGGGATGGAATACTGCACGGGTGCCCAGACAGAAGCAGGTGGCTTTCGCAGGGGGCCACACCCAGAGCCTTTGACCTAAAGGTCTGACCCACAAGACAGTAGAGCAGCGTAAGGAGATGCAGTACCATGGTAGCTGGTGACCAACAATCGGTTCATACGCCAATTTTTCCATCAGAACCCTGAAGCCCATGTTCACTGTTGGTTTGGAATCAGGGTTTTCCAATTCTCTTAGGTGAACCCTCTGTATTCATCGACCCGGTTAAAGTGCCGGGCATTCGCTTTTCGTCCTCTCAATCTCGTAAACAACACCTCTGCCGCAAGAAGGTAGAGAGTTGAACTTTGAGGTAAGTGGTTATATGCACGTTGCTGTGTGAGAGCATTTGTAGAGGGAGAGCTGACTCTCCCCACTCTCGGTTGCACCAGGGCATTAGGGGAAACCCCAGGAGTATGCAATGTGCTTCCCCTAAACGATGTTTAGAACTGAATTTGACTGATCATTGTTGACATATGACTAGAGTCAGTACAGAAATATCAACAATGAGGAAAATACAAACCTTTTCTAATAAAGATCATATTTTCACAACTTAAACAGCGAACTGATCTTAGCTAAACCAGCATTGGAAATCTGATCTTCATCAACAAACCTTGCTGGATAGAGTAAAGTATAGTCAAACTAATGGTGAGAAATGTTCTGGTTTATGAGTATAGTAATTTGACTTAAGCCCGCAAATGCCCAGGTATGGCCGAGAGCAGGGACGACCTACCCTCCCTCTCGAAGTGCTCTCACACGGCCGCACGCACACAGCCTCTGCCAGGGAAGTCCTACTCACTGCTTTCTCACACCAGGGGTGATGTTTACGAAATTGAGAGGAAGGAAAGCGAATATCCGTCGCTTTAACCGGGCCGGTGGACACGGTGAGTCCACCTAGGGGAGTTAGGAAACCCTGATTCCAAACCAACAGTGAACATGGGATCCAGTATCCTGGGGGAACAATTGGTGCATGAACCGATTGTTGGTCACCAGCTACCATGGGACTGCATCTCCTCACGATACTACACTGCCTGATAGATAAGACCTTTAGGTCAAAGGCTCGGAGTGTTGCCCCCTAAGAAAACCATCTGCTTCGGTCTGGCCACTCGGACAGTATCACAGCCCTCACACAAATAAAATGAAATGACGATATTTACTGAAAATACAATTCTCGCCTCGACTTACAGTCAAACAATTCACATTATTATCATTAATTTTTACTACGTCACTTATTCGCTTTCTTTTATTCCCACTCTGTCTATCCTTACTTTTCGACTTAGACAGCAGCTCGTCTATAGTGGAAATTCGACTCTATCTAAACGTTCTCGAGTCACTGCCTGGTTGAAAATTGAATGCTACCACCAAATACGAATACTAAAACAGCTTTTCTGAAACCACGTGCATCATTCAAACTGGCTGCCTTCAACGTTCGCACACTTATGTAGGTCGGACAACAAATAGGGCTGACTATGTCTTTAGAAAGTCTTAACATTGATGATTGCTGTCTATCCGAGACCCGTATTCAAGACTCTGGTGAAGTACTACAAATTCGCTCTTCATCTGTCGCTTCGAAAAGCTTGTTTTACGTGCGTTTATCCGGAGACCCTGTGGCATCTTCGTCTGGTCTTGCTGGCGTTGGTGTCGCACTAAACGCTAGTGCTGAGGTAGCACTAATAGATTGGACCCCCATTAGCAGTCGGTTATGTGCTGTTAGAATAGGAAGTTCCATCAAAGTGAGAAGAAATCGGCGGAAAAGTATAGATGAGCATTGGTTGCGACTTCATGACGCCATGAAAATGGCGAGTAAAGTCGCATGCGGTTTCGCAAAAGGTCTCGCTTATAAGCACGGAGTTTCTTCAGGCTCCTTACAGCTCATTCAAGCCCGTCAGTCTACTCCAGGTGGCCGTGAGTTTGACCACAAATGGCGGTGTGGATCTGTTGCCTGGAGAAAGAATTAATGACCTTCAGTACGCGAATGATATTGCCTTATTGTGCGATAATGCCCAAGTCATACAATCCTCACTTAATCAGTTGGCAATCAGTGTCCGTAGGTATGGTATGTGCTTTGCACCTCCGAAGTGCAAAGTACTTCTACAAGACTGGCAGGATTCTAATCCTGCACTCACCCTGGATGGTGAGCAGATAGAAGTAGTCGAGAAGTTCGTGTATATAGGTAGTTGCATAAGTGCTGGTGGGGGTGTGAGTGATGAGATCAATGCACGTATAGTGAAAGCCAGAGCGGCTTATGCCGATCCGGGCCATCTTTGGCGCCTTCGTGATGTTAGTCTGGTTGTAAAAGGTCCGATCTACAACGCGTCGGTGAGAGCAGTTCTGCTCTATGCTTGTGAAACCTGGCCTCTCCGAGTTGAGGATGTTAGACGACTCTCTGTGTTTGATCATCGTTGTCTCCGAAGAATTGCTGGCATCCAGTAGCAACACCATGTTAGTAATGCAGAGGTCCGGTATCGTGTGTTCAGGCACAGAAATGATAATGCAATCGATGTCACCATCTTGAAACACCGACTTCGGTGGCTTGGACATGTTCTACGAATGTCGTCCCAGAGAATTCCACGTCGTGCATTATTTGCCGACTCTGGGACTGGTTAGAAAAATCGGAGAGGTGGGCAGTGTATGACATGGTGTCGTGGTATGAAAGAAACCTGCAAAGGGCTGGCTTGTGTTGGTCCTTCACGACTCCCTGATTGGGGTCTGAGAGATTGTGCTACACAGTGGCTAGAGACGTTATCAGATATGGCTCAGAATAGAAGCCAGTGGCGATACTGCTGTAATCTTCTTTTACTTTCTTCATAAGAAGTGGTTGTAACTTCCTTAACTGAAAAACTTCTTCTGGTTGTACCTTTCCGTTTCCCACACTATTATTATTATTATTATTATTATTATTATTATTATTATTATTATTATTATTTCACTACCATACACTAATCTGTAGTCGTTATTGTTCCTTTTTTCTGATACGCACCTTACATTCTTTTTCTCGTCCCATTCTCATTGTTTTGTGTGGCGCATATATATCTGGTGCCCCCTTCTATCAATATTTGTGTTCAAATAAATAAATAAATAAGAAATAATTTGACTTAAACACAAAACAATGTTGCGCCATCATATACTAGGAAGTCAGCTTACAAGTTAAGTAGGAATTGTTTCAGTATGTAAGCGGCTACGACACAACTTAACACCCGAGATTATTAGGTTTAAAAAGGCACACGTACATATGTTTGGATACTACTTATTGATAATCCATAAAATATTTTGTCAGTATATTGTTTGTAACATATATCTGCTTTGTACCTGAATTACAATTTAAACACACTAACGAACTTGGATGAATAAATGAGCTAACCAGCATCTTGATTAGAACCACCTGGTCGACATGTATTGATGAATGAGAAAAAATTAGAAATATCTCACGAATGTACATTTATTCTTTTATTGCTTAATTCACAACTTGTATATAAACTCGTGAGTACGCCCCACGGGTGAACTCGAGGAAGCTCTAAGAAGTTCAGGAAAAGCCTAAGATATTCTATCCAATCATCTTTTCGAAGAATATTCCAGAATCTCTACGTGTAGCTTCCCTATCGGACAAATGCCAAAACCCCTGTATGCGGATTGGATGACCATAATGATGATTTCGTTTTTACTAAAAACCTGGGAGTTTTGTACCATATTTGACACTGGAATAGCATTCCTTTTACTTGTCTTCTGTCTTATCATTTGAGACTTGGAGGGTTCTAGCGTTCGAGCCCTGAAGCTCTAGATATAACAAAACTATGTAGTAAGTACGGAGACGCATTGAAGAGAGCTGACTTAAGTACCAAAGGAGATATGCACCATTCAGATGAGTCACAACAAGAACGAAGAGTATGCCTAAAAGATAGTCGGTCAAATGGCATGAAGATTGGGATTTTCGCAGAACCAGGGCTATCAAAGCCGACTGAATTGTCCAGTTTATTCATGAATGGTAAATAGAGCTATCTTAGTGAGTTTATTTAGTAAAATAACTAGAGCTTTCAATAAATAATTTATAAATATTTTAATTAGGATGTATCATTCATGTTAACTCTAGCAACATATTGTTACTTTAATTACTAAAAGATAACATCTGAGAAATGAACGATTTCACGTCCATGTTTTATTCTTGAGCTTAACACTTACCAACACAAAGTAACCGTGTCAATGTTGAATAAACATCGTGACAATCTCGTTCTTTTAACACAACCAAACGAATTACATGGAAATCTTTTCCACGTATAATCAAAGGTGCACCACCAGTAGTTAACGGTAGACGTTCAACTGAAGAAATTAGTTGATTCGGTAACTATACAAAATGAACGCAAAAAGCATATGCTGATCAAAACAAAACAGTTGAATCAAGCCAGATCAACAACTGAGGCAGAATAATATGAATTTATTCTGTTTCACGGTTTCTCGTCAGCTAGTCACAACCAAATATGGATTAAAGTGTGACAATGGGCTATGATATAGTGTGAGGCAAAAGAACTTGATGACGGAAAGGATTTGAGTTACAAAGATAATCAACAATATATATATATATATATATATATATATATATATATATATATATATGAGTGGGCACATGTGAGGTTATTTAAATATGGAATTCAAAAACAATCCTTCCAAGTTATCAGCCGACTCTTCCATAGCAATTTAGGGACCCAAACCTGATCTATGCGTCCAAAAAGAGACAGTAATCAACCTATTATTTTGTTAAATTTACAGATTTGACTAAAATCACCTGCAATTATTATTTTTGCCTATTATTACTATTTTATTGGTGTCTCTTTTGCAATGCAGTGTTCGTCAAACTAGTTTTTATGAATGCCAAAATCATCCTTTCATTTGTCGGGGTTTTTTCATCCACGTAACAGTCTAAACTCTTCGGATCTTACGTAATTATTATGCAACTCTTCAATTTTAGTTATAAGCAATCATTACATTGTTCTAAATCTTCTATAACCAGTTTCAAGTGATTTGAATTTTACGTAGACTCTTCACAACTATAATTATCACACGACCCACCCTATTCTGTCTCCAGACTTCATTTGATTATTCCCTCACACCTGTTCAATTATATATATATATATATACAATTGATAATCTTAGTCATTTTAATTTTTTTCATCAATAACAATTGTTTCACATTGTCATACCTCAATATTACACTTCAATACATATATAGTCGTAAGCAGCTGATGAGAAACCACAAAATATGAGTCCATACTATTCTGACTTAATTGTTCTGCGGGCTTTATTCAAATTCGTAATAGGAACCAATAGCATGGAAACAGTTAAACATGTTGTCCGAAGATACATTTCTATCAAGAATTGCTATTGAACGACATCATCAGCACAAAATTCAGAAGAACGATGAAAGCACCACGACCAAACCATCCAGCTCAGTGAACAAAACTCTATCAAAATCCTCAAGATCCTACCATGCCATACAGACCGGTTGAGGAACGATAAGATTGAAAGCAGAAAACCTAAGGTCCGGGAGCGAAGTCATACTGCTAACTGTACAGGGGTGTGGCGGTAGTAAAATATTTCCTTCAGACAACCAGCATAACAGCGATGCTGCCTTCCTACAAAGGAAGGGTCGACCCTAAAAATGCACACTTCGCTTTATTCCACAGATATTCGTCTCCAGGGATAAGGTTCCAACAAGTACAGGGCTAACACGAAAATTACTCACAAAAATGTCATGTGTGACTGGCCCCAAGCAGTTGCCCCTTGGGCATTGCGATAACACTCTCAGGTCACTAAGACCACCTCTAATCCAATTTCCTTTTCAGGTACCTCTAGAAGAACCCTTCTATGGTGTGCGCAACTGGGAAGTGATAACCACCCTCATACCTCTAACAGAACTCAAGACCACCGTATTCATAATCAGTTCCCCTCTTCCATTCCTATTCTTCCTCCTAATTCGACTATCAACTCCAAATTCCCTCTTTTGACTTTTTCCTCAAGTATCACCATGGCCAACGATGCTAGTGCGCGAAATATTGTCCCAAGACTGCTGCCTATGTCAAATCGACCAACAGGAATCTTAGCCAAGACCCTAAAATTTCATACGGTTGATGTATGCTGTGTCTCTGAAACACACAAAGAGGATCTTAGTGTGGTCACTCACTTGACCTCACCTAGCCAAAACGAGGAGCCCACGAGATATACCCTTCTGTTAGCTGGCGACCAGACTTTATTTTATTTATTTGAAAACATAAATATTGGTACAAAAGGATGCTAAATACATATGCGTCACACAATTCACTTTATCCAACAACTTAAATTAAGTCAGTGATAGAAATCCAATAGTATTTCCTGACTTGGCATCCTTAATAAAATTCTGTATTGAGTCAGTCAGTCAGCTACAGTGTAGGACCAAATACATACATGAATCGGTCCAAGTTGCCACACCTCATTAGCACAAGATGAACACCGGATTCAAAGAAGCAGTTAACTCAATAGTGTAATATATAAACGAAAGATTTTATGTAAGGATACAGTACAGAAAAAAAAGAATTAGTTAGTAGAAAGAAATACGTGAAAAATTTTTAAGAGAAGACAAAGAGTGTATACACTTACGCCATTGTGATCGATTCTGAGCCACGTCACCAAGAGTCTCCAACCATTGGTTACGATAGTCACGCGGACCCCAACCAAGCAGTCTGCATCTCCCAACATGGCTCAGACTAAAAGTTAGTGACTTCAAGCACTAATGCCACGTTTTGGTTTGGCCGCCCCTAACTTCCTTCCAACCTTCCCCAACACCGGTTAGCATTACACGCCGTGGTAATCGGTGTTCAGGCATATGTAACATGTGGCCCAACCATCTCAGCCGATGAAGATTCATAACCTCATTAACTGATTTACCATCATTAAACAATACCCTGCGTCTAACCTCACTATTACTTACCCGGTGATCCCAGCAGATGCCAGCAATATTTCTAAAGCATCTGTGATCGAATACTAGTAGCTTACGAATATCTTCTACTCTTAATGGCCACGTTTTGCAGCCGTAAAGTAAAACAGAACGGACTGCCGCGCAGTATACTCCTCCTTTTATTGATAGACGGATATATCGCCTTCGCCATAGGTGGCGCAAGTTGGCAAAAGCCAAGCGAGCTTTTCGAATCCGTGCTGAGATTTCGTCAGACACCAACCCATTAAGGCTGATCAGACTTCCAAGATAAGTGAAGTTGTCAACGCGTTCGACTACTTCACTCCCTATCCTTAGTTCAGGTGTTGACGCAGACCAGTCCTGAAGCAGCAGCTTGCATTTAGAGGGAGAGAAGCGCATTCCAAACATTCTGGCATTGTTGCTTAGTGCTGCCAAAAGACTGCATTTTGTCAGTGTCTTCATCAAACGGGACTATGTCATCTGCGTATTGTAAGTCGTTAAGTGGACCTCCTGGTAGGAGATCAATGCCCGAAAATTCAGTCGATGAGAGTGTTATTTCCAACATTATGTCTATGATGAAATTGAACAAAAATGGAGATGGTGGACAGCCTTGACGGACACCACTTGAGGTTGTGAAATCAGATGACAGATGACTCAACTAGTAGTGTTCGAGTAAAGAGTCTTCACAAGGTTTATGTACTTCTGAGGTACGCCTTTCAATGACAGACACGGCCACAGAACCTCTTGGTCTACGGGGTCAAATCCTGCTTTTAAGTCAAGGAAAACCACCATCGTCGGACGCCGATAAGCATGCCTGTGTTCTAGTACCTGACTAATGGTGCATATGTTGTCGATGCAATCACCACCAGGTCTGAAGCCAGCTTGATTCTCTGGTGTTTGCACTTCACGAGTCTTAGTTAGGCGCCCGATATTTATTGAGGCTAGCATCTTTGATGCTATATTAGTCAAATTAATCCCTCTATGGTTATTACAGGGTGATTTCGACCCCTTCTCATATATTTTGCGATAGTCAGTGATTGCGACCAGTCAGATGGGATTACGTCCAATTTCCAGATTTTAGCAAAAATATTAGTCAACCTAATCGCTAAAATTAGACCACCATTCTTAAAGACCTCTGAAGCCAATCCATCTGGACCATCTGCTGTTCTTCGTTTCAGATTAACTATAGGCTTTCGAACTTTAGCTAGAGTCGAAGGACCTACTTCAGTGTTCAATTCAGGCTGTTTGGGAATTGTGCGTAGTTGTAGACTAGCTGAAGGCCAGCTGAACTGCTCCTTAAAGTGTTCCGCCCATCGTTCTAAACGTCTGGGTCGAGAGCAGATAAAAGTGTCGTCTTTTTCTGAAATAGTCTCAATTACATTTGAATTTTTAGTTCCAGTTTCTTCTTTGAGTCTGAAGAGTTGTCTTATGTTCCCTATAGCCGCCGCCTTGTCCATCTCCTTTGCCTTCGATGCTTACCACTGCTCACAGTCGTTCCTTAGACTTTTGCTTAACCTAGATCTGATTTGCTTCCACTCATCATCGTATCCAGAGCCTGACGGGATGAGTTTGCGAGAGTCCACCAGTGCAACAGCCCTTGGAGAAATCCATTGATTCTTTGTAGCGCTGTTTCCACACCTGTTCGTATATCTTTCCAAGCAACATCTGGGTCAGCCTCGTTTTCAGAACTACCTACGTGTGACCTCAGTTGTTCCTGGAATCTACTTTCGACTTTCTCGTCACTCAGTACAATTCTAATAGATCTTCTTGGTATGCCTTTTCTGTGTCCAGTGAGGCGCAAGCGAATGCGTACCCGTATCAGAGCATGGTCAGAGTCTAAGCGTATATTCCAGAACAAGCGACAGTCTTCTATCGACTCTCTCCAACGACGACTGATGGCAATATGGTCTATTTCAGTCCATCGTTGGTTTGACTCAGGTTGTCGTCATGTTCGACTATGTCTCTCCTTATGCTTAGAATTAGTTCCCTAAAAACAAACCATTGTTTGAGCACAATTGTAGCAGACGATCACCATTATCTGTTCGCTGTGTCGGAGTACTAGAATACCCACCTAAATGTCTTTCTGTTTGGTTTAAGCTACCTATCTGAGCACTAAAGTCACCCCCTATGAGTACTAGGTCTGAGCGTTTAGCTTTCTGAAGAAGTTCAGATAGCTTTCTGTGAAATTCATCGTTCACTTGATCTGAGTTGCAGTCGGTGGGAGCGTAGGCAGAAACAACGAGAAGGCAACGACGTGTTTCCCGATTTTTACGAGTTCTTATGTACCCGTTTAGCCGAACAGCGCATAGATGACTGTTAACGGGGACCTACTGTAATAGTGCTTGTCCCGCCCTCGTACTTAGTGCTATGCCTACACATGTCAGGCTATGAGAACTTGCCATCGGGTTGGCAGATACACGGCGGGTGTATCTCGTCGCCTCTCCATCTTGCCGAGGTGAGGTCAAGTGAATGAGCACACTAGGATCCTGTATGCGTGTTTCGGAAACACAACATACATCAATGGTACGAGATTCTAGAGTTCCAACGAAGGAGGCCTGCTGGCCGATTTGACATGGAGTGTATACGTTGAAAGCTCTGTGTAGTTTGAAGCGAAGTTTCAATAAACTTGGGAGTGTTTTGCGCGCTAGAATCGTCGACTATGGTGATACTTGAGAAGGAAGCTTAGTGGTGAAAGTCGATGTAGGAGGAATAATGGGAATTAAAGAGGGAGGCTGATTATGAATACAGTGGTCTTGAGTGCTGTTAGAGGTATGAGGGCATTTATCACTTCCCGGCTGTCCACACCGTGGAAGGGTTACTCTGAAAGTTTATTTATTTATTTGAATACATAAATATTGATACAAGAAGGCACCAAATAGATATGCACCACTCTGGAAGTACCTGAAAAGCGAATTGGGTTAAAGGTGGTCTTAGTGACCTGAGAGCGTGACTTTATTGCACAAGGAACAACTGCTTGAGGTCGGTAACACACGACCATTTTGTGAATAATTTTAGTGTTAGCTCCATACTTGTTGAGACCTTAACGCCGGAGACATATTCGTGGGATAAGGCGAGGTGTGCACTTTTAGGGTCGACCTTTTTTGACCCCACCACTCCTTGTGAGAAGGCAGCGTCGCTGTCATGCTGGTCGTTTGAAGGAAACACCTTACTGCTGTCACACCTCTGTACAGTCAGTAGTAGGACTTCGCTTTCGGACCTTGGGTTTGTTGCCTTTAGTCTTACCGCACTTCAACCGGTCTGTCTGGCACGATAGGACCTTGAGGAACGATTGTTCCAGCCAGTATAGCTCAGCTGCTTCATCACGATAGGTGAGCCCGACCACCACGTCAAGGTAGCAACAACGGTCGGGAAGATTGTAAAGGTAACTGTAAGGAATCATTCTGTTTGAGGAAGATCAAGACCAGTCATGAGTTAATTGACGATAATCGAAACAGTTGTAAACAACAAAGCCGACATCTTATGAATTATTACACGTTTAGAGAATTTGCAAGCAAGTTACGAAATTTTTCCAGTTGGATTATCTATGCCAACTCTTGATTCGAAGATGATAATGTGACTTAGGTAAATCACGTTTGCGAAAACCTAAAATTTACTCAGTCAGAAAGTCCTCCTTTCTAATTTAACGCAGCTGATAATTTCTCTTAGCCTAAACATTTAACCACCATATATACTTAATGAAAGGTGAAAAATGAATAAATCCATCTAATATCAGTTTCAAAAGTTGGTAATGCGGTGATACCTTATGTAAGTAACAATATTTTAAACTCGCATTGATCAGTTACTCCTACGGAATAACATTTGTATGAATACATTGATTCGTTTTAACAGATTAAACACACGCAAAAAGCACATTTTATGTTTAACAATAATATATACATCAAAATACTGAATAAACATGAACAAACAAAAAAAACTACCCATATTTCCTGTTTTCGAGATAATCCAAGAAAAAATATGTGCGTCAGAGTTAAATGTAAGGTTCCACGAATATGTGCATTACCATCGAATTGATCTATGTAGAAAACGTCATTTACCTATAAGAAATAATACGTTTTATGATAAAAGCAGTTGCAAAGTTTGTTTACAGAAAAAGTTACTTTAATAGTCGTTATTTGTCTGGTACTATGATTAATATTTGACCAATCATAGTTTTAAGTTATTTTAACTATTGCATACATCTAATAGGTACAGTATCATCGATAATAAAAAGTCAGTATGAATGGAGTGACAGCATTTCATTATCATTTCAACACATAAACAAAGGTACGAGAAGGCACCAAATAGCTATGCGCCACACAAATCATTCGATTTGTGTGAGGGATGGAATACTGCACGGGTGCCCAGACAGAAGCAGGTGGCTTTCGCAGGGGGCCACACCCAGAGCCTTTGACCTAAAGGTCTGACCCACAAGACAGTAGAGCAGCGTAAGGAGATGCAGTACCATGGTAGCTGGTGACCAACAATCGGTTCATACGCCAATTTTTCCATCAGAACCCTGAAGCCCATGTTCACTGTTGGTTTGGAATCAGGGTTTTCCAATTCTCTTAGGTGAACCCTCTGTATTCATCGACCCGGTTAAAGTGCCGGGCATTCGCTTTTCGTCCTCTCAATCTCGTAAACAACACCTCTGCCGCAAGAAGGTAGAGAGTTGAACTTTGAGGTAAGTGGTTATATGCACGTTGCTGTGTGAGAGCATTTGTAGAGGGAGAGCTGACTCTCCCCACTCTCGGTTGCACCAGGGCATTAGGGGAAACCCCAGGAGTATGCAATGTGCTTCCCCTAAACGATGTTTAGAACTGAATTTGACTGATCATTGTTGACATATGACTAGAGTCAGTACAGAAATATCAACAATGAGGAAAATACAAACCTTTTCTAATAAAGATCATATTTTCACAACTTAAACAGCGAACTGATCTTAGCTAAACCAGCATTGGAAATCTGATCTTCATCAACAAACCTTGCTGGATAGAGTAAAGTATAGTCAAACTAATGGTGAGAAATGTTCTGGTTTATGAGTAGCTGCAACAGTGTTTCAGAAATCCCGTTAACCCCCTATTAATGGTTCAATTCAGAGAAAGAATCCGTCAAGCAAACGAATCTACCCAAGCTGCCAGCTTTGGGGAAATCCCCAAAGTGAAATGGCCTTCCCCAAAGTTTGGGGAAATTTTAGGGTTCGCGTCTCATTTCCTCAAAATTTACTATAGCGGCTTCCCCAAAATTTCCTCAAAATGGACCAAATTTTCCTCAAAGTTGGCAGCTTGGGTATGAAGTCGATGAAATGGTCCAAAAATTTAAGTAGTTTTTATCACCCAAGTCCAGGTCGTCAGAGAGGAAATGTGTGATGTCGGTCCGAACCACTATAAACCCTCTGAGCAAAAAACGAATTCATGTGGCTGCAGCCACATGAACACTTTATATCACAGAAAATTAGAGTAGCACTCAAGATGTTCTCGACGAATCTACGCACTTCCCAGCATTATACAGAAATTCCCCAGAAATATTTGATACCTTTAAAGAGAAACTCATGTACCTGTGTCACGGATATCTTGTCCATGCACTTATGTAACGCAATAGTTGAAGATGATAAGTTTAATTATCAATGTTATGTTATTTTTGGAAAGGGGTGATCTTATCCGCAACGCAACCATGTAAACTTAACGTATCGCACACTGTCATTTGTGCGTTCAAGTAACCACAGATTTGTCATTTCATAATGTATTTTTAATTAAATAACTAGATTATGTAGTTAATTTTGCTCTGTTTTAATTTTTAAACGCCACGTCTGACTGCGTTACACTGTACGTCCATTGCACGCTGGAATAATATCCCAAGTCATAGTAAGTTTATTCACATAGTTGATTGTTTCCAGATAGACTGTCAGTGCATGATTTTACTGAAGAAAGGTTTGTTGTACTGTAAACTATGTTTCTATGAACAACTGCCTGTTGTCTTCAGTATGAAAGTAGTATATATGTATCCTTCTTTCTTTTCTTAGGTAAGTTCAACTGGCCTATATTTCGTGTTTTGGTTTTGTCGGCTTAATTATGTCCATTTAAATACTTTGAGCAACATGTCTTTGCAAGTGAAACAATAACTATGACACTTGCTCAGTCTAGTGTTCTTGGTTGTCGTATAATTCAGTTTAGTTGAAAGAATTATGATATACTTAAGTATAGTGCTTGAAGCCTGCAACGAAACAGATCAGTTCAATAAGTAGAGTTGCCTGTTTCCAATGTGTATACGGATTCAGATCAGTCTGATTAAAAATAGGAAAAACCGTGCCTTTGATGCTGTTGCTGTCATACATTATAAGATAGCGATAAGTATGTTTGTTGTTTATTTCTAGACTGTACATCTACCACTGACCATATTTCATGATCACTGTCATTAAACGAATTTCCCCAGCAATAACATCGGTAGCAAGATAGCTAAGTGTCTGAGCTTTTAGTTGCCCCCAGAACAGCAGTATACAGTTGATGATGTCACAGGTATTCAGTGTTTGACAACGCTTCTACCAGTAACACCTTCTAATGTATTTCGTTCCCACCCAGAGAAATCAAAAGACAGAGTCGAGGAGATCGGAAGAGTATATTTGGCGATGACCAATATATCGGAATTCTCTGATCTATTCTGGCTAGCGATTGCAGTTGATGTTGAGCACGGCGTTACCACACGTGATCTAGTGCGGATGCATGACCGAGCGCCTTCAGCTAGATGAGTCCACTAAAACATATGGTCAGCATCCAATGTCGAAAACTTAGGGCTATTTATTTTGGGGATTTATTTACCGCTACAGATCACTCCCCCCCCCTAGTGAGGTAGTGACGACCCTAAGACGTGGCCAGCCAGAAGTTTAAACCCAACGAGTTTGTCGTTGGTAAACACTCTTCTGATAGCTGACTAAGTGTAGCAGCGTCTGGTCGTCTTTCCTTACTATATGGGACCGAGGTACAACATAGTAAAAAAGGAAAAAGTTACAACGAAAATTTCGACTCCTCGTAAACTGCATCGTTCTTTTCCAGCCGTCCTGGAAAGAAAAAAGAAAGTGTAAGTGCATGTCGAAATACACTCGTATGTGCGCAAAAACACAATGTCAGTGAAAAAATGGAAAATATACTCAAGAACACATAATAGCGTTAAAAAATGTTTTTTTGTTTTGTTTTTTTTAAGTAAAAAAATATAAATATATAAGCATATTAAAATTGTCTTTTTTTTAAAAAAATTATATATCGTAAAAAGAAAGATCGAGATAATATAAAATGTCGAGTAGTGCTTTACGTGCAGTAGTCGTTTAAATGTTCTGGAAATCTTACTCTTCTTCCAGAACGCGTCGTTTTAGGTTTATTTTCAGATACATTCGGAGTATCATTCCTTGTGTTGGTTGTCGGTTGAGGAATTATGAGTGGAGTCGTGTCGTTCGATTGTAGCGAAGGAAAATCGACGTAGATAGAATTTCCTTCTAAATACGCTGCTTTGAGGCGATCGATGCTGATGCTATCGTTTGTTCCGTTCTTATCGATTATATTGTACTTCGGTTCGCGTTGAAGAACTTTGAAAGGTCCTTCGTATGCTGATTCGAAGGGTCGTCGATGCGTGTCTCGACGAACGAAAACGTGTGTACTATATCGTAAGTCAGGTTGAACGAAAACATCAGTTGATTGAGGTCGAGTGGAAGCAGGTTTAACTGAACGCATTGCGTTTGTAAGCCTGTTCGTGTAGGAGGTTAGATCCATGTTCACTGAAGAGGATGAAGGATCCACGAATTCTCCTGGAAGTCGAAGTGTCGTTCCATTAACCGGTTGAGCTGCAGTGTATCCCATGTCAGCTTTCACTGCATTGCGGATACCTAGTAAGACGAGTGGAAGAGCGTCGGTCCACTGTGAAACGTTTGCAGCTGATAGCGAAGCTTTCAGTTGTCGGTGAAAACGTTCTACCAACCCGTTTGCTTGTGGATGGTAGGCGGTCGTTCGGAAGCGAGTGATTCCTAAAAGTGTGGTCAGACGACGGAAAAGATCGGATTCAAACTGACGTCCGCGGTCTGTAGTGATGGTTGAAGGGCAACCGAAGTTTGCTACCCATCGTTCGACGAAGGTGCGGGCCACTGTTTCAGCAGTGATGTCCTTGATAGGTACTGCTTCTGGCCATCGAGTGAAACGGTCTACGCAGGTTAAGAGGTAAGAGTATCCATTTGAATCTGGTAGAGGTCCTACCAAATCCAAATGAACATGGTCGAAACGAGCATTGGGAGTTTTAAACGAGCCTAAGGGACATTTATTGTGTCTGATGACCTTAGATTTTTGGCAGCTTACACAGGAGCGTGCCCACTCACTCACGTCTTTATTCATTCCAGGCCAGCAAAACCGTTCTGCTATAAGCTTGATGGTTGCACGAACACCTGGATGCGAAAGTTTGTGCAATGTGTTGAAGACATTGCGTCGACAATGTTTCGGCACGATTGGGCCATCCCTACATGTAGACGTGTCACAAAGTAAGGTTTCGTTACCTGTTCTCATATGTTTGATGCGTAGTTTTAGTGTTGTGGACGATAACACGTGCCGAAGATCAGTGTCTTCTTTTTGAAGCTGGGCGAGTTTAAGAAGGTCGATTCCTTGGACACTGTTCAAGGAAGTTATGCGAGATAAAGCGTCTGCAACTACATTGTTTGCTCCAGAGATGTGTTGAATGTCTGAAGTAAACTGCGAAATGTAGTCCAGTTGTCGAGACTCACGGGGAGAGTACTTGTCAGAAGGAGAGCTTAACGAGAAAGTGAGCGGTTTATGGTCCGTGAAAAGAGTGAATTCACGACCTTCGATGTAGTGTTGAAATGCCGTACAGCACAATACATAGCTAGGAGTTCCCTACCGAATGTGCTGTACCTCGATTCGGTGTCTAGCAACCTTCTAGAGAAAAATGCCAAAGGTTGCCAGGAGTTGTTAACCCATTGTTGTAAGACTCCTCCGATTGCCGAGTCGGATGCGTCTACTGCGATGCTAATGGGTGCTCGGGTGTCCTGATGTGCGAGCATTGTTGCTTTAGCAATCAGTTCCTTAACTGTGGAGAATGCTTTTCGTGCGGTGTCGTCCAAATTGATGGATTTCGCATTTCAACGAAGTTGATCAGTTAGAGGCTTCATAAGTAACGCGAATTTCGGTATGAATCGTATGTAGGAACTTGCAAGGCCGTTAAGCGTGCGTAATTGCTTGATGGTGATGTGTCCTGGGTAATCCAGAATGGCCGCCACTTTTGTTCTAAGGGGTCGAATGCCTTGCGCATCTATAGTGTGTCCTAGGAAGTCTAATGCGTCGGTTCCGATTTGGCATTTCTGAATGTTTACAGTAATGCCATGTTTTTGTAGTCGTTCGAAAACAAGATCCAGATGCTTGAGATGTGTTTCTCTGTCCGGACTTGCGATTAGACAGTCATCAACATACGCGTGTACGAAGTTGAGACCTCGAAAAACGTCGTCTATGAATCTTTGGAATGTTTGAGCAGCATTCCTTAGACCGAAAGGCATTCGCAAAAATTCATAGAGTCCGAAAGGAGTTATGATAGCTGTTTTCGGTATGTCGTCAGTAGCCATAGGGATTTGGTTATACGCTTTAACCAAGTCGATTTTCGAAAAGACAGTTGTACCTTTCAAGGTAGCTGTCAAATCGTGAATGTGAGGCAACGGGTAACGATCGGGAATGGTTTTCGCGTTCAATCGCCGATAGTCACCAGTTGGACGCCAATCGTTGCTGTCCTTTTTAGGGACCATGTGCAACGGAGATGCATATGGGCTACTTGACGGTCGTATGATTCCTAAGTCCATCATGTGATCGAATTCGTTTTTCGCTAACCTTAGCTTTTCAGGAGCTAGTCGTCGTGCTTTAGAGAATACAGGTGGTCCTGTAGTCGTGATGTGATGTGTAACATTGCTGGTTACACACGGTAGTTTCGGTTGAGTTTGTTGTATCCAGGGTACTTATCGAGTAGTGGTTGATAGAGTGGGTCTATCATATGCTTAACTGTGACTGGGGATAATCTGGAACCAGAAAAGGAAGTTACGCAAACGGATAAATTAGTGTTCTCGTCTACTAGTCTCCGTTTGCGCGTGTCGATGATCAGATTGTGGTGTTGTAGAAGGTCCATACCAATGATTGGCATAGGAACATCTGCAACAACGAAAATCCAGTGAATGGGTTTGCGTAAACCCACGTTAAGGTAAACGTACCTTTTGCCATACGTAGCGATCGGTTGTCCGTTTGCCGCCTGTAAGTTTAGGGTCGATTCGTGAAGTCGGTCGTTAGGATTTGCTGGGAGAACGCTAACTTCTGCGCCAGTGTCGACGAGGTAGCGAACTCTCGTTGTCACATCCGTGACGTATAACAAACGGCTATGTTCGCCGGCTACGGTTGCCGTTAACGCGTGCCGGCTTGGAAGTTTCCCGAATTGTTTTTCGAATCCGTCGGTTTCGTGTTGGGAAAATTGCAGGGTTTTCTGCAATTTCTGGAAAGCTTTCCATACTGGTTATGATACCAGCACCAATCGGGGTTATCTGTCTCTCGTGGTCTA